TTTTTGGATGTCCTAATCAAAAGGAGACCTGACGGTTCAATGAGCCACTCTGTCTACAGGAAAGCCACCCACACGGATGCTTATCTAAAACCGGATTCCCACCACCATCCATCCCAGAAGAATTCCCTCATCAAGACTCTATATCATAGAGCCCAATGCATCTCCGACCATGAACACATTTCCAGTGAACTCAAACACGTACGCCAAGCTCTTAAGGCTAATGGTTACTCCGACTACACAATCCGCAAAGCCATCACTCCAACCATCAAGAAGGATCCTGTTGAGGAGCCTTTCAAGACCATCACCTTACCCTACATTGCTGGGGTCACAAAAAAGATCTCCAAAATCCTGATTAAACACAAGATCCAGGTCCGATTCAACACAGTACATAAAATCCGTGATCTGGTCCCGTCTGTAAAAGATGTGGTTCCAGACATACAGTACCCTGGCGTCTACAAACTAAGTTGCCTCTGTGGTAGCAGTTACATTGGAGAAACCAAACGACATGTCTCGGACCGCATCCGTGAACATAAGGCAGACCTGAAACACGGTAGGACAAACACCTCAGCCGTGGCAGATCACTGTTACAATTCAGTGGGCTCACATGACATTGACTTCTCCAAGACAGAGGTTCTCTGCAAGCCATCTGGCTATCATGAGAGATTCGTTCATGAGGCGATCCACATATACAAACACAGAGACAATTTCAACCGAGAAGATGGATTCTGGCTTAGCAATCATTGGAAGGACGTAATAAACCATTTCGGATCTTAACTGATTGTGTTCACGTTTACGGTGACTTTCAGACCACGTTCCACTCACTGGCATGGTGCAGTGTGCAGAGTAATGTATGGTGTCGTAATTGTACAGTAAACATATAGCAGTATGATACACATTAGGGTGGGTAGAATAATACATAGTGTTATATTAAAATGGATAAGGCAGCAACTGCAGCAGCAGCAGCAAGTGCAGCAGCAGCAGCAAGTGCAGCAGCAGCAGCAGCAAGTGCAGCAGCAGCAGCAACTGCAGCAGCAGCAGCATCTGCAGCAGCAGCAGCATCTGCAGCAGCAGCAGAAACTGCAGCAGCAGCAGCAGCAACTGCTGCAGCAGCAGTAACTGCAGCTCCCTTTGATGCTGTTAATCCTGCATAATGCACATGCATATGCAGTACTAATCACATTCCTGCATTTCCCATAAATATGCTAAATTCCTTTTGATATGCAAATTCCTTTGTCAATGCGCCCAGCTTATATATATGCTCCAAGCTCGTGTGCTGTTTCATTCAGACTCTGTCGCCTCGACGGACCTGGTTTTCACCTGAGGACGGCTGCTTGCGTTGTGGCCGAAACGTCGTGAGAATTGTTTTATTATGTTTTATTTTTATTATTTTATTACTTCCCTTCTACGTGACTTTACCGAAAGAACCAAGAAGAAGAATAAATTATGTTAATGAGACGGACTACTGTGCATTGATTGAGCATGAATAAAGTTAATTAACCGCCAGTTGATAGTTTCAGTTTCATTAATTAGGTACGAGCGGGAAGCACCCGACGTTGCTCGGGGGAAACATTTATTGCAAAACTTCTCAAAAAATTTTTTAAACATAACATATACAACTGAATTGTTTTTTTGATTATCTCATTAAATTTCGATTTAAAGCTTTCGTGACTGCAGGGATTCATCTTCTTGGTTCTGTCGGTAAAGTCACGTAGAAGGGAAGTAATGAAATAAAAATAAATTATACATATTTATAAATAATAAATGAAACATTAAAATTCTATTATATATTTTTTAAACACTTTTTTATTTTATGTTTTTTTATAATTATTTTATTACTTTCCTTCTACGTGACTTTACCGAAAGAACCAAGAAGATTATCTCATTAATTAAAATTTAAATACATTTAAATAAAATCCAACGTGCGGTGGAAAATAAACTTACGATCACGCAAAGGAATCGAAGGTTGTAGATTTCTTTAAAATCGGCCTATTCCCGTTTAATCGATACCACAAACGCTCAGCAGATATCGATTCTCGCCACACACTTCATGTTCAAAAATACAAAAGTGTATTTTTTATAATTTTTGCATGTTGTACATTTTGCAAAGTACCCACATGGCAAATTTTAAGTTTGTTGCATGTCGGTAAGTACGCTAAACATTTTGAACAAACAACACATTCACAAATTTTCCTTTGATATATAGAAGACTAGCTTGACTACCCGGCTTCGCCCGGGACTTGGATTCACCATGCCCGGCCGCCTTTGTCTCCCCAGTGGCGATGTTCACACACCACATCAGTTACTCGTTTGAGGCTGAGTCGACCTAGGGGAAGCCCAGGACCAGTAAAAATAATCGTGGTGGCCGTGAGCGGGAATCGAACTCGGGTCGCCGGGTTCGTAGCGCAGCGCGCTCACCACACATCATCTCTAAAACACAGAAGTGAGATGGCTTTCTAAAGGTAGATCACTGGCCAGAGTTTTTGAGTTGCGAGAGCCACTCCAGAGACATCTTTTAGAAAAACAGTCACCACTGGCAGCACATTTCAGTGACACAGAATGGGTCGCAAATCTTGCTCACTTGTGTGACATATTCAGCCTGCTCAACGTACTCAATGTGTCATTTCAGGGGAGATCGACAACTCTGTTCAATTCGGCAGATAAAGTGGCTGCATTCAAAGCCAAACTGGAATTATGAGGGCGACGAGTGAACATTGGAACTTTTGACATGTTTCAAACACTAGCAGAGATTTTGAAAGAGACTGAGCCAGGGCCTTTCTCCCAGCTGGTGCATTAAAACCTATCTCAGCTTTTAAAAGACTTTGGACATTACTTCCCAACCACAAAAGACCCCCGAACTGGGAAGGAATGGACCCGCGACCCATTTGTGAATAAGCCAGGTAAATCGACTTTGTCTGTGCTAGAAGAGGATCAACTGATTGAGATGGCAAATGAAGGTGGCCTTAAAAGTATGTTTGAGACAACTTCAAATCTCGATACGTTCTGGATTAAAGTCAAGGCGGAATATCCTGAGATTGCCACAAAAGCACATAAAATCCTGCTTCCATTTCCAACGTCCTATCTTTGTGAAGCAGTGTTTTCTGCAGTGACAGCAACCAAAACGAGATTATGGAGTAGACTGGACATAAGCAACACACTTCGGGTGTCACGGTCTCCCATCACCCCCAGATGGGACCATCTAGTTTCAGGAAAACAAGCTCAGGGCACCCACTGATTCTGTGATACCGCCGCCGCGAAGCCGCTTGGCGGGCGCCCCATCTACGACCTCGCCACTACCAAGCGACGGGGCCGACCCCGCTTCCCCCTCACCGCCCCCCACATAAACACACCCTCACACATTTCCCCCCATAGAGCTCCGAGGGGAGCTCTCCTGGCCGGCAGGTTTTCACCCAAATGCCCTCATAGGGATAATCTTCACGGTTTCCTGCGGTCAGGGAATTGGGCGACCTCCCCTGATGCTAATTCGCACCGCGGCGCTGTGACCCGAGTTGAGATTGCATGGTCACGGCGGGGGCTGTCCAGCCACCACGGTTGAAATGCACCCCCCCACACACACGTATCGGCAGGGCAAGCAGGCGACGCAATCCACAAACGAACCGCGGGAGAACGGGGCCCCGCCCACTGTTCGGCTAGACGACGCAATCCACAACCGAATGGCAGAAAAACGGGGCCCCGCCCACTGTTCAATGAGACGACGCAACCCGTCGCGCTAACTGGGTTCTAACCGCCCGAAACCAGCGAGAGGACAGGTGAAGCGCTCCGATTGGCCAGCGGAGTGGGACCCCCTGTGAGGTGAGGGGAATAAAGAGAGGGGTGAAGGAGGCATAGGAGAGTTCTTCTTAAGTCAGCTCCGGGGCCGTCAACACCCTAGTCCAGCAACTCGAACGTCCGTGCGACGTGTCGACGTGCTGCGAGGACAAGCCGACAGGAGCGTCTAACCGTGAGTGAGAGGGAGGTGGGACTTCGCTTAAACAACCTGGGAAGAGATAAGGTAAAGTAAGATTCCCGACAACCGAGAGATAAGAGTGGTCCTGCCCTGCTGACTCCTACTGACTCGGGTAATAGGGGTTCGCTCATATGCCGGGAATAAATCGTTAGGATCAATAACAGCCTGGTGTGGTCTTTGCGGGTGTGTGGGAAGAGCGTGCGAGCGGGTGTCTGCTTGCCGTATCGCATGTGGTTTGGACGAGCGTGTGAAAGCGCGTGGTGCTGTGTGTACGTACGCTCACAGCGTGTGCAGTCAGTGCTTCACGGGTGTGCGCTCATAATGTGGGTGGTCGGTGTTTCCGCGGGTACACGATCCGTTCTGTCGCTGTGGAAACGCGTGCTGCATGAGGGCTCACACCCACCGTAAACACCGGTCCCACGGCCCCTTTAAACGAGCGTTATCACCCACTCACGGCGGCCGCACGTGTGCGAGCAACGCCACTGCCCTCCGACCCCCAGCTGCCATGCGATTTCTAGAGCGTGCACGGAGTTGAACAGTAGCGTGCGGCTAGTTATTACCAATGTTTGAGGGAAGGCACGCGGAGGGTGTTTGAATGAACAAAGGGGGGCTAAAGGGGCCAGCCGAGAGTTGTCACACAGAGAGGAATCGGGGGGCAGTAGCCCCGACAATTCTGCATGATGGTGAGTTGTATAATTATTCCATATTACAATGTAATAATAATATAAATAAAGTGCACAAAAAATATAATGCGCTTGAATCATCATGAAACCATCCCCCCCCCCCCCCCCCCGCGGGTCCGTGAAAAAATAGTCTTCTTAATAATCGTGATAATACAAAGATTATCGCTATAACTTTTGCTGATTATGTCTTAGTGTAATTCTATCAGGTCTCAGAATTCAGATCTCACCGAAGGATAAAGTTCTTATAATTAAAATCATTATGCATGACCTTAGGAAGGAACCACTCAGACACTTCTGTGTTAAGCAACTTTAATTTATAAACAAAAACACAACACTCTAATATGCAAACTCCTGGAGATGTGCTCCTCATTGATCCGACCATTTAACCCTCCATGATTACGCTGTTAAACTGGGTAACAGAGCAATAGGTTAATTCCTAAGAGTCACGCGAGCATAGGAAAAAGTCCTTAAAAAACTTAACCCGTAAAAACAAAGTTTTTCACTCTAAATCCTTTATATGCGTGGCGGCTAGAGTCCTCTCGTCCTCTGGCTTGAGATGGCTGCCACCTATGGGTCAGATGATTGTCTGCCAGTATTAAGCAATTGGTAATTACATATTTAATTTGTTTTCACTAAACAGTGTAAACTTTCGGAAATTTTTTTGACGAAAATTAATTGTCACGCACAACGAGTCTGTGTGGAAAATATCAGCTCGATTGAATCACGGGAAGTGGGTTAAAAAACGACCGAAAGATTTGCACGGTCCTAAGCAAGCAAGCAAACTTAATATAAAGGATTTAAAAATATATTCGCCTGTGGAGGACGCGGGGATCGATCCCGCGACCTTTGGCATGGGAAGCGAGGGCGCTACCAACTGCGCTACTCCGCCATGGCCTGTGGAGGGGTTACGCTCTGGGCTCCTATACTGTGACGTTCAGCCAAAGCCATGAATGAGTTGTATTTGAATAAATGTAAAATAAAAAATTTTTGCCTAAAAAGTGTTACATTTTTGAAAAAATTTTTCACGAACATTGTCTCGCACAACGAGTCTGTGTGGAAAATGTCAGCTCAATTGGATCACGGGAAGTGGGTTAAAAAACGAGCGAAAGATTTGCACGGTCCTAAGCAAGCAAGCAAGCACGCAAGCAAGCAAGCAAGCACGCAAGCAAGCAAGCAAGCGAACTTAATATAAAGGATTTAAAAATAAATGTGACGATATTCATACGAACGGCAATAAAGAAACATGTCCCCAATGCAAAAGTAGACTTCAATGAATTCATTGGTAGATTATGTAATTAACTAAATGTCTTGGAACAATGGTGTGTGGCAGTGTGCCTGCTTCAGCAAATGTTTATCAATTGGCTAAGGCTTCAATAAATTTGCGGGCAAGATTCTGTGATCAAAAGAAAGATTTAAACACAATAGTCTCCCCTGTGAGTGTGTGGATTCGTAACAAAGGTTTCTAAATGTTTAGTTTCGTCAATGAATTCATCGGTAGTTAAAATTAACAAAAAGACCGACTAAAAAACTTCTCAATGACCGTATCTACGTGACTCAATGGGCAGCAATGTTCTTCACTATCAGCTAATACTTGACACACTCTTATCATTATTGTTATTATTATTAGTCCCGGTATGTGCGGTATGTGTGTGTTTGGTGGTTTTGTCTCCTCGATCAATTCTATGCGTCAAGTAGACGCTGGATGATACGTGGTATGCGAGTGTGGGGGAGGGTCATATACACAGCTTCCTCGCTCTCTCTCGCTCGGCGGCAGCTGAAGCTGCTGCCCATTGCTGGGTGAAGAGTCGGCACGACGCTCGCCGTCAGCAGTGCGCGATGATTCCGTCGTCAGATAGCGCCCGCAGCTCGTCTGCTTGTCGCCGTTCCTCACTCGTGTCTTGGTTCACAGCTGGTGCTGGTCGGTGTGTGTGGGTCGAACCCACGGCGCTCTCGCTGGCACTCTCCTCTTCCTCACAGGCAGCTGGTCAGGCTCTTTCCCCTGCTGGATGAGCTGAGTCGGCACGATGCTTGTCTTTCAAGGTGCTCGACAGCGCTCGCCGCTCGTCCGCTGGCAGCTGACACCCTTTCTCGGTGGCGCTGCTGCGCTCTCTCTCTGGCTACCGTGCTCTCTGGCGATGCCTGGTTGCGCGTGCAGCTGGTTCTCTGCGATGCTGGCTTGGTCGATGCTTGGGCTTCCACCCTTTCTCCCGGTTGATTGCTCGTCGTTGCTCGTCACTCTATCTCTCGGGCTGCAGCTGCTCGTGGGAGCTGGTACTCAGTGTAGAACAACTTTGAGCGATACTTCTTCTGTCAGCCCCGAGCTCGTACTCGGTGACCCATTGGTACTCGGCAAGCCTCTTCATCCTTGGTTGATTGCAGAGTCCCACCCCAGAGCTTGCTGCTTGCAGTAATTCAACTCTTTGTGTTGATTTCATAGACTCGTGGCTTCTGCTGGTGCAGCTCGTTGACGATGTGCCAGTCACGGGGGCAGGTTCCCCGAAGCCTGCTGATCGCAGCTGCTCGTGGGAGCTGGAACTCACGCTCAAAACTTGTAAATTGTATTTGCACACCTCTTGAACAACTGTGAAAGCTTAATACAACTTATCGCAATCCTTGACTTTGCAAGCGACTCAAAACATCAGGATAAATGTAGAATAAAACTCTCAGCGATACTCTGTCGGTCCATGTCGAACTCAGCACCGAGCATCACTTTGCCTCTCTTATCTGCGAGACACACCACCCATTGTTGATCTCGAGGCCATGCCCCGGAGTCTGCCCGTCGCAGTACTCTCTGTCGCTTATAGTCTTCTGTAACTCGCAGTAGTCTCGATGTATGGGTCGTGCCTCTGTTTTTACGTGAAATTCTCTCCCCTCGGATCGCCGTGTGGTTAGTCATAGGACACAACATATGCATTGTCTTTGAAACTGATTGGTCCACACCAGAGACAGCTTTCTTTCGAGCCTAATAACGGTGTTAATCCAGAGGACGCCAATAGGCGTGCTCTTTCAGTGTTTGTGATGAGATGATAACAAACTCAGAGTTGCTGAGGCAATTAAGCAAGCACCATATAAATGATATTATTATAACATAGTGAATGCTTGGGAGCTTATTGGCTCTCGCTCCTAGTTAGAGATCTACCCAACCCACAGGTCCGCAAATAATGACCGCTCTTACTCTGCAGGTTGAAACTAGGAATGGAATGTTCAACTTCACGTTCTTTTCATTAAAGGCCTGTGACAAATGTGAATCTATTGCAGCTTCGTTGTCTCAAGCTTACACATCTACAGGTTCTCCATTTGACTTTGTATTGTCTAAGAAGTCCACCCACACCTCCACTTCCACACACTGCTGGGAGTTGCCTCGCTCTGCCTCACAGTCAGAATTCTCCTCCTGCTTCACGTTGCCTCCATTGATGTGAAGGTCCGATTTTGGAGTTGAATGTTCATCTTCACATTTGACCTTCACTTCTTCGCTCTTCACTGTCACTTCTTCGCTCTTCACTGTTGCGTCTTCACATTTCACCTGGATATATTTCATAGTGTCCAAGCTGGAATTTACTTCAGGTTCTTTTTTCAGGAGGGATGGGCTCAGTGCAAAACTTTGACTTTCACAAGTCGATTTCAGACTACACTCCTTGGGGGTCTTCTGATGCCTGTGTGTTCTCTGGTGTCTATGAAGATGTGGCGACTGTGCAAACGCCTTCCCGCACAGAGTGCACTTGAAGGGTCTCTCTCCTGTGTGTGATCTCTGGTGTATTTTAAGATAAGACGAACTTGAAAATGCCTTCCCACACACAGTGCACTTAAAGGGTTTCTCTCCTTTGTGCGTTCTCTGGTGCATTTTAAGATTTGATGAATATGAAAATGTCATCTCACACACACCACACTTGAAGGGGTTCTCTCCTTTGTGCGTTCTCTGGTGGATTTTAAGACTAGATGAACTTGAAAATGCCATCTCACACACACTGCACTTGAAGGGTTTCTCTCCTGTGTGTATTCTCTGGTGTATTTTAAAAGAAGACGAACTTGAAAATGCCTTCCCACACACACTGCACGTAAAGGGTTTCTCTCCAGTGTGCGTTCTCTGGTGCATTTTAAGATTTGATGACTGTGAAAATGCCATCTCACACACACTGCACTTGAAGGGTTTCTCTCCTGTGTGTGTTCTCTGGTGTTTTTTAAGATAAAATGAACTTGAAAATGCCTTCCAACACACACTGCACTTGAAGGGTTTCTCTCCTGTGTGTGTTCTCTGGTGTATTTTAAGATAAGATGAACTTGTATATGCCTTCTCACACACACTGCACTTGAAGGGGTTCTCTCCTTTGTGCGTTCTCTGGTGGATTGTAAGATTAGATGACTGTGAAAATGCCATCTCACACACACTGCACTTGAAGGGTTTCTCTCCTGTGTGTGTTCTCTGGTGTTTTTTAAGATTAAATGAACTTGAAAATGCCTTCACACACACAGTGCACTTGAAGAGTTTCTCTCCTGTGTGTGTTCTCTGGTGTTTTTTAAGAGCAGATGAATCTGAAAATGCCTTCCCACACACAATGCACTTGAAAGGTTTCTCTCCTGTTGGAGATCTCTGGTCCTGTGTAAAATTTCCAGTACAATCCATGCTGTTTGCATACTGGTCCCATTGTTGTCTTTGTCTACCGAGCCGCGCTGAGTGCCTTTGCTCCATCAGACCAATTCTGCAGAGAAAGCATCAGAAGAAGCATCAGCTGCAGACAGAAAAAAATGTCCACACCATCTTCATCAGTATCGAGGCACAGAGGAATGAATATATACACAGTCACACATGACTTACACGTCTATCTTTATTCATATATTCAAGATTATCCCCAATTCATCACACGGGATGTTAAGACACACAATGAGAGGGCAAATGGTTATAAATATGCCTGTTAACCCAAAACACCAAGCACACAATTTCGGCTGCCTGGCTGCAAAAGTAGTATTTATAAAAGCAAATTTCAGCTAACATAGCAAAGGCTGTTGGGAATAATACTATTTGTATTATGCAGAAATGCATCAATAAATGTTCAATCTCAACTTTAGAGGTGTGAAGCCAGGCTCAGATTTGCTTGAATGCTTGGATGAACAGATCTAACTTCAGCAGCATATGTGCTGTTAATTTCCTGTTTCCATTCTTCCAAAAAGTTCCAGAGGGAAGCTAAAATAAACGATTGTTTTGATTTAACTTCCATGTTCAATAGTTAATATAATTTACTGCAAATACAAACTTGACACTGTCACACACTGGCATGGTAAAAAGTGGTGGTGTGTACAGAACCATGCCTGGACGCCTTCATCTGCTCAGTATTAACGCTTCCTCCCTTCACCATGTAATTAATTTAAGATCAATCAACATAGCAGAGGCCCACAAGCAGTTCAGCTTTCACTTATCAATCATGTTTGCTGTCGGTAATAATCAAACTAATTGTTGAGTTCATAATGCAGTGAAATAACTGCACAACAGCTCCCCACAAAGATAAACTCTTAAATACACATACATTTCACATGCATCATTAACATATATAAACAAAAATCCACCATTCATGACGAATTGCAAGTAACCTTATCCAAGTGGTAATGCCATTATAGGTGCAATTTAAGGCCATGTAAGTGTGGATTCCTTGTCAGCAGGTAATGGGAATGATCCAGGTGTCAAGGGATGACTGACAGATGAACCAGCTGTGCTCCCCAATGTCTTGCTGGGTTTTAGGAACCCAGCGTTCCACCTATTCATGTGGGCGTCGCTCTTCCGATCTCATCGTTGTTTCAGAGAACAGGTCCCTGCGGGGTGGGCTGGTAGGAACGAATAACCAAAGAATATAAACATAATGTATTATTACACTTGTTTAGCCAGGAAAGCCTCACTGAGTGTAAAGGTTTTTGTAGGGTCCTGCCAAGTGTTTGCAGTAGGGGGTGATGTTGCTACACCAAATCGGACGATATGAAGGGAGAGTTTGAGGCCTAGTTCTAGGCTTTAGGCTAGTTGTAGGCTTTAGGCCGCTGTGAGTAAATTTTTTATTTAAATGTTTAATTATTAATGTAAAAGCTTTAAATGTAAATGTTTCTATTTTAAAAACATCAGGGAATGTAAGATTGTTAAACATTAACTCCCTTTCACACACGCGGGGGTACGATACGAAGGGAGAGTTTGAGGCCTAATTCTAGGCTTTAGGCCTAGCTGTAGGCTTCAGGCCGCTGTGAGTTAATTTTTAATTTAAATGTTTTAATTAAAAGCTATCGCAGGGAATTATAAGGGAATGTTACACTTGTTTAGCCATCAAAGCGTCACTGAGTCTAAAGGTTTTTGTAGGGTCCTGCCAAGTGTTTGCAGTAGGGGGCGATGTTGCTACACGGACGGACGGACGATATAATCTATTGTAGGCTGGTTCACTTCGTTCCTACCAGTAAAATATCTATTAACTGCCCTGCAGCATATCTGCAGGGCAGTTAGTATGGTGTTGGACCAGATGACGCCAAAAGGCGTACAACTCAAAAAAGGTGTCAGTTTTGTTGCCAGATAAAAGGGTAAAGAAAACAATTATCATATTTTGCGACTGGCAAAGGAGGTTCCAATGGTATAAATGCTTACCCCGAGCTCTCATACTCTGATGGTGCATTGTCTTTGAGTTGTACGCCTTTTGGCGTCATCTGGTCCAACAGCATGTGAGACTAGGCTCTAAGAAAAGCTGTCTCGGTGTGGACCAATCAATTTCAAGGACAGTGCATATTTGTTTGTATTCTCTCCGCAGGTATTGTGGTCAATGCAAACATGGCTCCTTGTAAGAAAAGGTGTCAGTTTTGTTGCCAGACAAAAAGGGTAAAAAAACCGATATTCATATTTTGCCACTGTCAAAGGAGGTTCTAATGGTGTATTGGGAGCTAATCAAACTATGTAGTTATTTATTGATTTAAAGCTTTCTTGACTGCAGAAATTGAATATTCTTTGGGTCTTTTGGTCAAGTCGCGTACATAGAAAATAATAGATCACGACGTTTCGATCCCAACACAAGCAATCGTCTTCAGGTGAGAGAAAAAGCTGCTGAGACAAGGTCTTATATAGGCCTGAGATGGGTGCATCAAGGTAGGTGGGTGGAGCTAGTCCAACCAATTGAAACAAACACGGAGAAACCGTATACAAAAAATATCCCAAGACAAAAAAATAGCACAAATCTGTAAATGATAAAAGGGGAAAAGCCTCTTCTTATATTTTGCTACTGGCAAAGGAGGTTCCCATGATGTAGCTGCTCACCCCGATCTGTCATTGTTCTGATGGTGGCGTTGTCTTTGTGCTGTGTACGCCTTTTGGCGCTGTCCTCTGGTCTAACACCGTTTGAGACTAGGCTCGAAAGAAAGCCGTCTCTGGTGTGGACAAAAAAGTTTCATAGACAATGCATTTATTATGACAGCATGTTTCTTCACCATTGGAACCTCATTTGCCAGTAAAAATATGATAATTGGTTGTTTACCCTTTTATCTGGCAACAAAACTGACACCTTGTTTACAAGTAGTCATGTTTACATAGACCACAATACATGTAGTCATAATGCATTATGACTGAAGGTGTCAGTTTTGTTGCCAGATAGAAGGGTAAAAAAACAATTATCAGCATGTTTCTTGTTTGCATATTGATCGCGAGTATATTGTGGTTAATGCAGACACGATTCCTTGCAAGAGGTTTCAGTTCGGCGTTTAAACATCTTAACACGTAAATTTTGATTTGAAGCTTTCCTGACAGCAGGGAATCATCTTCTTGGTTCTTTCGGTAAAGTCATCAAATAGAAGCGAAATTATAAAATTATAAAAATATAAAACAATTAAAATTTCTCACGACGTTTCGACTGCAACACGAGCAATCATCGTCAGGTGTGAAAAACACAGCAAGAAAATTAAAAACATTTTCCTAAAATTTCTTGCTGTTTTTCACACCTAAAGTCACGTAGAAGAAAAACAATAAAATAAAATAAAAATTCTCACGACGTTTCGACTGCAACACCAGCAATCCGGTGTGAAAAACAACAACAAAATTTCTAAAAAATTATTGCTGTTATTCACACCTAAAGTCTCGTAGAAGAAAAACAATCAAATAAAAAAATATCACGATTCGACTGCAACACGAGAAATCGTCAGGTGTGAAATCCACAGCAAGAAATTGTATTATTTCCCTTCTACGTGACTTTACCGAAATAACCAAGAATATCTTAACACCTGTTTTGTTGCCAGAAAAGGGGAAAACCTCTTCTTATATGTTGCTACTGGCAAAGGAGGTCGCATGAAGTAGTGAGCCAGATGAAGACGAATTAAACTTAAGCAGAGGATTAAAGCAAATGCAATCAGGCGAGGGCAGGAGGCAAGGCCCCGCGTGGCTAGACCCGCGTTGTAATGTTCCAACCTGGACATCGATTCCATACTCGCTGCTACTCAATTGATATCCCTACGAGAGAGAGACGGAGAGAGGCTCTACCTGGGTAAACAACAACAACCACGACAACAACAACAACCACCACGACAACAACGATGTTAACTTCTCACCTCGGATCTGTGAGAGCGAGCGCGGTGTAGCAGCTCGTGACGTCACGCGGCAGCAGGTGACATGACGTCACTTACGGTGTTCAACACAATCCCCTCCCCCAACGAGCGGGAGTGTAATTGAATAACTTATGTTAATGAGACGGGCTCATGTCCAGTGATGAGGCGTGGATGCTGAACCAGTCACAATGAACTAGCGATAGCATTTATGAATAAATTATGTTAATGAACCGCCAGTTGATAGTTTGTTTCATTTATTAGGTACTGCCTGGGGGAAAAATGTATTGAAAAACTTCTCAAGAAAATTAAAAACATAATTTATACAAATGAATTTTTTTTATTATTATTCTTATGAATAACTTTTTTTATAAAATGTAAATAAATTCCAACGCGCTGTGGAAAATAAACTTACGCTCGCGCGTCAAAATTCGATTCTTTAGATCGCGCAAAGCAATCGAAGGTTGTAGATTTATTTAGAATCGGCCTATTCCCTTTTAATCGATACCACAAACGCTCAGCAGATATCGATTCTCGCCACACACTTCATGGTCATCCCCCCCCCCCCCCCCCCAAAAAAAAATAGTTTATTTTTTTATAATTTTTTCATGGTGTACATTTTGCAAAGTACCCACATGGCAAATTTCAAGTTTGTTGCATGTCGGGAAGTACAGCTAAACATTTTGAACGGACAACACATTCACAAATTTTCCTTTGATATATAGAAGACTAGCTTGACTACCCGGCTTCGCCCGGGACTTGGATTCACCACGCCCGGCCGCCTTTGTCTCCCCAGTGGCGATGTTCACACACCACATCAGTTACTCGTTTGAGGCTGAGTCGACCTAGGGGAAGCCCAGGACCAGTAAAAATAATCGTGGTGGCCGTGAGCGGGAATCGAACTCGGATCGCCGGATTCGTAGCGCAGCGCGCTCACCACACATCATCTCTAAAACACAGAAGTGAGATGGCTTTCTAAAGGTAGATCACTGGCCAGAGTTTTTGAGTTGCGAGAGCCACTTCAGAGACATCTTTTAGAAAAACAGTCACCACTGGCAACACATTTCAGTGACACAGAATGGGTCGAAAAACTTGCTCACTTGTGTGACATATTAAGCCAGTCAACGTACTCAATGAGTCATTTCAGGGGAGATCGACAACTCTGTTCAATTCGGCAGATAAAGTGGCTGCATTCAAAGCCAAACTGGAATTATGGGGGCGACGAGTGAACATTGGAACTTTTGACATGTTTCAAACACTAGCAGAGATTTTGAAAGAGACTGAGCCAGGGCCTTTCTCCCAGCTGGTGCATTAAAACCTACTCTTGTGCTTGGAATTGTCAACACAGTACTCCTGGAGATGTGCTCCTCATTGATCCGTACATTTAACCCTCAATGATTACGTTGTTATACTGGGTAACAGAGCAATCGGTTAATTTCTCAGAGTAACGCGAGCATATACGGCGATAGTAAAAAGTCCGTAAAAATAAATATGACGAAATTCATACGAACGGCAATAAAGAAACATGTCCCGAATGCAAAAGTAGACCTCAATGAATTCATTGGTAGATTATGCAATTAACTAAATGTCTTGGAACAATGGTGTGCGGCAGTGTGCCTGCTTCAGCAAATCCTTATCAATTGGCTAATGCTACAATAAATTCGCGGGCAAGATTCTGTGATCAAAATAAATATTTCAACACAAGTCTCCCTGTGAGTGTGTGGATTCGTAACATAGGTTTATAAACGTTTAGTTTCGTCAATGAATTCATCGGTACAGTTAAAATAAACAAAAAGAACGAATAAAATACTTCTGAACGACCGTATCCACGTGACTCAATGGGCAGCAATGTCCTTCATTATCAGCTAATAGTTGACACTCTTATCATTATTCTTCTCATTATTAGTCCTGGTATGTGTGTTTGGTGGTTTTGTCTCCTTGATCAATTCTTTGCGTCAAGCAGACGCTGGGTGATACGTGGCGAGAATGTGTGGGGGAGGGTCACACACACAGCTTCCTCGCTCTCTCTCGCTTGGCGGCAGCTGGAGCTGCTGCCCACTGCTGAATGAAGAGTCGGCACGACGCTCGCCATCGGCGGTGCGCGATGATTCCGTCGTCAGATATCGCCCGCAGCTCGTCTGCTGGTCGCCGTTCCTCACTCTTGTCTTGGTTCACAGCTGGTGCTGGTCGGTGCATGTGGGTCGAACCCACGGCGCTCTCCTCTTCCTCACAGGCGGCTGGTCAGGCTCTTTCCCCTGCTGGATGAGCTGAGTCGGCACGACGCTTGACTTTGAAGGTGCTCGACAGCGCTCGCCGCTCGTCCGCTGGCAGCTGACACCCGTGCTCGGTGGCTCTGCTGTGCTCTCTCTCCAGCTCCGTGCTCTCTGGCGATGCCTGGTTGCGTGTGCAGCTGGTTCTCTGCGATGCTGGCTTGGTCGATGCTTGGGCCTCCACCCTTTCTCCCGGTTGATTGCTCGTCGTTGCTCGTCACTCTATCTCTCGGGCTGCAGCAGCTCGTGGGAGCTGGCACTCACTCTCAAAACTTGTAAATTGTATTCGCACACCTCTTAAACAACTGTGAAAGCTTAGTACAATACAACTTTACGCAATCCTTGACTTTGCAAGAGACTCAAAACATCAGGATGAATGTAGAATAAAACTCTCAGCGATACTCTGTCGGTCCATGCCGAACTCAGCACCGAGCATCACTTCGCCCCTCTTCTCTGCGAGACAACACCCATTGTTGATCTCGAGGCCATGCCCCGGAGTCTGCCCGTCGCATGACTCTCTGTCGCTTGTAGTCTTCTGTAACTCGCAGTAGTCTCGATGTATGGGTCGTGTCTCTGTCTTTACGTGAATTTCTCTCCCCTCGGATCACCGTGTGGTTAGTCATAGGACACAACATATGCATTGTCTTTGAAACTGATTGGTCCACACCAGAGACAGCTTTCTTTAGAGCCTAGTATCAAACGGTGTTAATCCAGAGGACGCCAAAAGGCGTGCTCTTTAAGTATTTGTGATGAGATGATACAAAACTCCGAGTTGCTGAGGCGATTAAGCAAGCACCATATAAATGCTAATATTATTATAACATAGTGAATGCTTGGGAGCTTATTGGCTCTCGCTCATAGTTAGAGATCTACCCAACCCACAGGTCCGTAAATACTGACCGCTCTTACTCTGCAGGTTGAACCTAGGAATGGAGTGTTCAACTTCCCGCTCTTTTCATTAAAGGCCTGTGACAAATGTGAATCTATTGGAGCTTCATTGTCTCAAGCTTACACATCTACAGGTTCTCCATTTGACTTTGTATTGTCTAAGAAGTCCACCCACACCTCCACTTCCACAAACTGCTGGGAGTTGCCTTGCTCTGCCTCATAGTCAGAATTCTCCTCCTGTTTCACGTTGCCTCCATTGATGTTAAGGTCCGATTTTGGAGTTGAATGTTCATCTTCACATTTTACCTTCACTTCTTCGCTCTTCACTGTCACTTCTTCGCTGGTCACTGTCGCATCTTCAAATTTCACCTTGATACATTTCATAGTGTCCAAGCTGGAATTTACTTCTGGTTCTTTTTTCAGGATGGATGGGCTCATTGCAGCACTTTGACTTTCACAAGTCGATTTCAGACTACACTCTTTGGGGGTCTTCTGATGCCTGTGTGTTCTCTGGTGTCTATAAAGATGTGATGACCGTGCAAACGCCTTCCCGCACAGAGTGCACTTGAAGGGTTTCTCTCCTGTGTGTGTTCTCTGGTGTATTGTAAGATAAAATGAACTTGAAAATGCCTTCCCACACACAGTGCACTTGAAGGCTTTCTCTCCTGTGTGTGTTCTCTGGTGCATTTTAAGATAATATGAACATGAAAATGCCTTCCCACACACACTGCACTTAAAGGGTTTCTCTCCAGTGTGCGTTCTCTGGTGCTTTTTAAGATGTGATGACCGTGAAAATGCCATCTCACACACACTGCACTTGAAGGGTTTCTCTCCTGTGTGTGATCTCTGGTGTATTTTAAGATAAGACGAACTTGAAAATGCCTTCCTACACACACTGCACTTGAAGGGTTTCTCTCCTGTGTGCATTCTCTGGTGTATTTTAAGATAATATAAACTTGAAAATGCCTTCCCACACACACTGCACTTAAAGGCTTTCTCTCCTGTGTGCGTTCTCTGGTGCTTTTTAAGATTGGATGACTGTGAAAATGCCATCTCACACACAGTGCACTTGAAGGGTTTATCTCCTGTGTGTATTCTCTGGTGGATTTTAAGACTAGATGACTGTGAAAATGCCATCTCACACACACTGCACTTGAAGGCTTTATCTCCTGTGTGTATTCTCTGGTGGATTTTAAGACTAGATGACTGTGAAAATGCCATCTCACACACACTGCACTTGAAGGGTTTCTCTCCTGTGTGTGTTCTCTGGTGTATTTTAAGATTTGATAAATGTGAAAATGCCATCTCACACACACTGCACTTCAAGGGGTTCTCTCCTTTGTGCGTTCTATGGTGGATTTTAAGATGTGAATTTGAAAATGCCTTCCCACACACAGTGCCCTTAAAGGGTTTCTCTCCTGTGTGTGATCTCTGGTGTATTTTAAGATAATAGGAACTTGAAAATGCCTTACCACACACACTGCACTTAAAGGGTTTCTCTCCTGTGTGCGTTCTTTGGTGCTTTTTAAGATTTGATGACTGTGAAAATGCCATCTCACACACACTGCACTTGAAGAGGTTCTCTCCTTTGTGCGTTCTCTGGTGGATTTTAAGATTAGATAACTGTGAAAATGCCATCTCACACACACTGCACTTGAAGTGTTTATCTCCTGTGTGTATTCTCTGGTGTATTTTAAGATACGACGAACTTGAAAATGCCTTCCCACATACACTGCACTTAAAGGGTTTCTTTCTTGTGTGCGTTCTCTGGTGTCTATGAAGCTGTGTTGAATGTGCAAACGCCTTCAAGCACATAGTGCACTTGAAGGGTTTCTCTCCTGTGTGCGTTCTCTGGTGCTTTTTAAGATTTGATGAATGTGAAAATGCCATCTCACACACATTGCACTTGAAGGGGTTCTCTCCTGTGTGCGTTCTCTGGTGGATTTTAAGATTAGATGACTGTGAAAATGCCATCTCACACACACTGCACTTGAAGGGTTTATCTCCTGTGTGTATTCGCTGGTGGATTTTAAGATTAGATGACTGTGAAAATGCCATCTCACACACACTGCACTTGAAGGCTTTATCTCCTGTGTGTGTTCTCTGGTGTATTTTAAGATAAGATGAATTTGAAAATGCCTTCCCACACACAGTGCACTTACAGGGTTTCTCTCCTGTGTGTGTTCTCTGGTGGATCTGTAAACATGATGACCATGCAAATGCCTTCTCACACACAGTGCACTTGAAGGGTTTCTCTCCTGTGTGTGTTCTCTGGTGTTTTTTAAGATCAGATGAATCTGAAAATGCCTTCCCACACACAGTGCACTTGAAGGGTTTCTCTCCTGTGTGTGTTCTCTGGTGTATTTTAAGATAAGATGAATCTTTAAACGCCTTCCCACAGACAGTGCACTTGAAGGGTTTCTCTCCCGTTGGAGATCTCTGGTCCTGTGTAAAATTTCCAGTACAATCCATGCTGTTTGCATACTGGTCCCATTGTTGTCTTTGTCTACCGAGCCGCGCTGAGTGCCTTTGCTCCATCAGACCAATTCTGCAGAGGAAGCATCAGAAGAAGCATCAGCTGCAGACAGAAAAAATGTCCACACCATCTTCATCAGTATTGAGGGACAGAGGAATGAATATATACACAGTCACACATGACTTACACGTCTATATTTATTAATATATTCAAGATTATCCCCAATTCATCACACGGGCTGTTAAGACACACAATGAGAGGCCAAAAGGTTATAAATATGCCTGGAAGCCCGAGTATCTTCAAAATAAATGTTAACTCAAAACACCAAGCACACAATTTCGGCAGCCTGGCTGCAAAAGTAGTATTAATCAAAGCAAATTTCAGCTAACATAGCAGAGGCTGTTGGGAATAATACTATTTGTATTATGCGGAAATGCATGAATAAATGTTCAATCGCAACTTTAGAGGTGTGAAGCCAGGCTCAGATTTGCTTGAATGCTTGGATGAACAGATCGAACTTCAGCAGCATATGTGCTGTTAATACTGGTAGGAACGAAGTGGACCAGCCTACAATAGATTATATCGTCCGTCCGTCCGTCCGTCCGTGTAGCAACATCGCCCCCTACTGCAAACACTTGACATGACCCTACAAAAACCTTTAGACTCAGTGACGCTTTCCTGGCTAAACAAGTGTAACATTCCCTTATAATTCCCTCAGATAGCTTTTAATTATAACATTTAAATTAATGAGGCTTTCCTGGCTAAACAAGTGTAACATTCCCTTATAATTCCCTGAGATAGCTTTTAATTAAAACTTTTAAATTAAAATTTTACTCACAGCGGCCTAAAGCCTACAGCTAGGCCTAAAGCCTCGACCTACGCCTCAAACTCTCCCTTCATATCGTACCCCCGCGTGTGTGCGAGGGAGTTAATGTTTAACAATGTTATATTCCCTGATGCTTTTAAATAGAAACATTTAAATGTAAAGCTTTTACATAAATAATAAAAACATTTAAATTTAAAATTAACTCACGGCGGCCTAAAGCCTACAGCTAGGCCTAAAGCCTAGAAATAGGCCTCAAACTCTCCCTTCGTATCGTACCCCCGCATGTGTGAAAGGGAGTTAATGTTTAACAATGTTACATTCCCTGATGTTTTTAAATAGAAACATTTACATTTAAAGCTTTTACATAAATAATTAAAACATTTAAATTAAAAATTAACTCACAGCAGCCTAACGCCTACAGCTAGGCCTAAAGCCTAGACCTTGGCCTCACACTCTCCCTTTGTATCGTCCGATTCAGTGTAGCAACATCGCCCCCTACTGCAAACACTTGGCAGGACCCTACAAAAACCTTTTAGACTCAGTGGAGCTTTCCTGGCTAAACAAGTGTAATAATGCATTATGTTTATATTCTTTGGTTATTCGTTCCTACCAGTCCACCCCGCAGGGTCCTGTTTTCCTGTTTCCATTCTTCCAAAAAGTTCCAGAGGGAAACTAAATAAGCGATTGTTTTGATTTAACCTCCATGTTCAATAGTTAATATAATTTACTGCAAATACAAACTTGACACTGTCACACTCTGGCATGGTAAAAAGTGGTGGTGTGTCCAGAACCATGCCTGGCCGCCTTCATCTGCTCAGTATTGACGCTTCCTCACTTCATCATGTAATTAATTTAAGATCAATCAACATAGCAGAGGCCCACAAGCAGTTCAGCTTTCACTTATCAATCATGTTTGCTGTCGGTGATAATCAAACTAATTGTTGAGTTCATAATGCAGTGAAATTACTGCACCACAGCTCCCCACAAAGATAAACTCCTAAATACACGTACATTTCACACGCATCATTAACATATATAAACAAAAATCCATCATTCATGACGAATTGCAAGTAACCTTATCCCAGTGCTACTGCCATGATAGGTGCAATTTAAGGCCATGTAAGTGTGAATTCCTTGTCAGCAGGTAATGGGAATGATCCAGGTGTCAAGGGATGACTGTCAGATGAACCAGCTGTGCTCCCCACTGTCTTGCTAGGTTTTAGGAACCCAGCGTTCCACCTATTCATGTGGGCGTCGCTCTTCCGACCTCATCGTCGTTGCAGAGAAAATATCTATTAACTGCCCTGCAGCATACCTGCAAGGCAGTTAATATGGTGCTGGACCAGATGACGCCAAAAGGCGTACAACTCAAAAAAGGTGTTAGTTTTGTTGCCAGATAAAGGGTAAAAAAAACAACTATCATATTTTGCTACTGGCAAAGGAGGTTCCAATGGTGTAAATGCTTACCCAGAGCTCTCACACTCTGATGGTGCATTGTCTTTTAGTTGTACGCCTTTTGGCGTCATCTGGTTCAACACCATGTGAGACTCGGCTAAGAAAAGCTGTCTCGGGTGTGGACCAATCAATTTCAAGGACAGTGCAAACATGACTTCTTGTAAAAAAAAGGTGTCAGTTTTGTTGCCAGATAAAAGGGTAAAAAAACAATTACAGTGATACCTCAGTTCACGAACTTAATTCGTGAACCGACTCTGGTCGCGAACCGAATTGGTCGTGAACCGAGGCACATTTTCCCATAGGGTTCAATGTAAATCCGGTTAATCCGTTCTGACCTTTTTTTTTGGTTTTTGAAGCACAAAAATATGAAACAAATTACAATACACATTAGTACTGTACAGTATAGTAATGTATAAAGAGAGAACACTAACCTTGCTTGAGATGACTTCAATAAGCACTCAAACAGGTGAACTGTACAATACAGGAAGTACAGTATTGTACAGTACAGTAGTACAGTACAGTACTGTATGTGCTAAAAAGCACACCAAAAAGCAAAAAGTCACTGAAAGTGTCTTCACAGTACTCACAGTACGTATTTCTGCGTCTCTTCTTCTCTCCACGATCTTCCTACAGGAAGTTACAACCATGTGACAGCCTGGAAATAGCATTAAAATGGCCGCGGCTCCTGTTCGTGAACCGAAGCGGAGTTCGTGAACCGGAGCATATTTTTATTAACTTTTCTGTTCGTGAACCGAGTTGTTCGTGAACAGAAGCGTTCGTGAACCGAGGTATCACTGTATCATATTTTGCTACTGGCAAAGGAGGTCCCAATGGTGCATTGGGAGCTTCTCAAACTACATAGTTATTTATTTATTTGTTTAAAGCTTTCATGACTTAAGGAATTAATACTATTTGGGTCTTTCGGTCAAGTCACGTTACATAGAAAATAATAGATCACGACGTTTCGATCGCAACACAAGCAATCGTCTTCATGTGAGGGAAAAAGCTGCTGAGACAAGGTCTTATATAGGCCTGAGGTGGGTGCATCAAGGTAGGTGGGTGGAGCTAGAGATGGTCCAACCAATTGAAATAAACACGGATAAACCGTATACAAAAAATATCCCAAGACAAAAAATAGTACAAATCTGTAAATGATAAAAGGGGAAAAGCCTCTTCTTATATTTTGCTACTGGGAAAGGAGGTCCCATGATGTAGCTGCTCACCCCGAGCTTTGTTCTGATGGTGGCGTTGTCTTTGTGCTGTGTACGCCTTTTGGTGCTGTACTCTGGTTTAACACCGTTTGAGACTAGGCTCGAAAGAAAGCCTTCTCTAGTTTGGACCAATCAGTTTCACAGACAATGCATAGATTATCACAGCATGTGTTTTGTTTGCATATTGATCGCGAGTATATTGTGGTTAATACAGGTAGGAACAATGTTCCACACTGCCCACCAGGGATTTATTGTCTGTCTGTCGTGCATAAATAAATATATAATACACACAGCTCTTTGATTGGTGGAGACCTTACAAACAGCTCTTTGATTGGTGGAGACCTACTGCCGGGTACGGAGAGGGGAGGTGCCTAAGGGAGGAGGGTCAGGGGAGGGGCCTAAGGAAGGGGGGAGTCATGAAAGGGGCCTGAGGGGGGGGGGGGTTCAGAGGAGGGGCCTAAGGGAAGGGGGGTCAGGGGAGGGGCCTAAGGATATGGGGGGTTGGGCAGGGGAGGGGCCTAAGGGAGGGGGGTAATGGGAGGGGCCTAAGCAAGGGGGAGGGGCCGATAGTTAAGGGGGCTGGCTACCTGGCTGGCTGCCTGGTTGCCTCAAGTCAAGTTATTTTTTATACAGGTAGGAACAACAGGTTCCACACTGCCCACCAGGTATGAGTTGTCTGGCTGTCGTGCACGAATGCGCTGTCCAACCAAGTTCCTACCTGCCCACTCCGAAGGAACGTGCTGCAGACACGATTCCTTGCAAAAGGTTTCAGTTCGGCGTTTTAACATCTTAACACCTAAATTTTGATTTGAAGCTTTCCTGACTGCAGGGATTCATATTCTTGGTTCTTTCGGTAAAGTCATCAAGTAGAAGCGAAATTATAAAATAATAAAAATATTAAACAATTAAAGTTTCTCACGACGTTTCGATTGCAACACGAGCAATCATCGTTAGCTGTGAAAAACACAGCAAGAAATTTTTCAAAACATTTCTTGCTGTTTTTCACACCTAAAGTCACGTTGAAGAAAAACAATAAAATAAAACAATTCTCACGACGATTCGACTCCAACACGAGCAATCATCGTCAGCTGTGAAATCCACAGCAAGAAATTGTATTACTTTATTATTTCCCTTCTACGTGACTTTACCGAAAGAACCAAGAATATCTTAACACCTGTTTCAGTTGCCAGAAAAGGGGAAAAACCTCTTCTTATATGTTGCTACTGGCAAAGGAGGTCGCATGAAGTAGTGAGCCAGATGAAGACGAATTAAACTTAAGCAGAGGATTAAAGCAAATGCAATCAGGCGAGGGCAGGAGGCAAGGCCCCGCGTGGCTCGGCCCCGCGTTGTAATGTTCCAACCTGGACATCGATTCCATACTCGCTGCTACTCAATTGATATCCTGACGAGAGAGAGATGGAGAGGCTCTACCTGGGTAAACGACAACAACCACCACGACAACAACAACCACGATGTTAACTTCTCACCTCGGATCTGTGAGAGCGAGCGCGGTGTAGCAGCTCGTGACGTCACGCGGCAGCAGGTGACATGACGTCACTTACGGTGTTCAACACAATCCCCTCCCCCAACGAGCGGCAGTGTAACTGAATAAATTATGTTAATGAGACAGGCTCATGTCCAGTGATGAGGCGTGGATGCTGAACCAGTCACAATGAACTAGCGATAGCATTTATGAATAAATTATGTTAATGAACCGCCAGTTGATAGTTTGTTTCATTTATTAGGTACTGCCTGGGGGAAAAATTTATTTAAAAACTTTTCAAGAAAATTAAAAACATAACATATACGAATGAATTTTTTTTTATTATTCTTATGATTAATTTTTTTTAATAAAATGTAAATAAATTAAAATAAATCCCAACGCGCGGTGGAAAATAAACTTACGCTCGCGCATCAAAATTCGATTCTTTAGATCGCGCAAAGGAATCGAAGGTTGTAGATTTATTTAGAATCGGCCTATTCCCTTTTAATCGATACCACAAACGCTCAGCAGATATCGATTCTCGCCACACACTTCATGGTCATTCCCCCCCCCCCCCCCCAAAATACAAAAGTTTATTTTTTATAATTTTTGCATGGTGTACATTTTTCAAAGTACCCACATGGCAAATTTCAAGTTTGTTGCATGTCGGGAAGTACGCTAAACATTTTGAACAGACAACACATTCACAAATTTTCCTTTAATATATAGAAGACTAGCTTGACTTCCCCGGCTTCGCCCGGGACTTGGATTCACCACGCCCGGCTGCCTTTGTCTCCCCAGTGGCGATGTTCACACACCACATCAGTTACTCGTTTGAGGCTGAGTCGACCTAGGGGAAGCCCAGGACCAGTAAAAATAATCGTGGTGGCCGTGAGCGGGAATCGAACTCGGGTCGCCGGGTTCGTAGTGCAGCGCGCTCACCACACATCATCTCTAAAACACAGAAGTGAGATGGCTTTCTAAAGGTAAATCACTGGCCAGAGTTTTTGAGTTGCGAGAGCCACTCCAGAGACATCTTTTAGAAAAACAGTCACCACTGGCAGCACATTTCAGTGACACAGAATGGGTCGAAAAAGTGCTCTCTTGTGTGACATATTAAGCCTGCTCAACGTACTCAATGTGTCATTTCAGGGGAGATCGACAATTCAGTGGAGAGAAAGAGAGTCAGAGCTACAGAGAACGGCACCGCGCCGTCAGAGTCACACAGTACGGGTGCCTTCGCCAAGCGCCGTGAAGCACCACCCAGTGGGCAAGCCTCTCCACGAACCGCAGCGGGCCTGATTCCGCTCATTTCCCAGCGGAGGAAGTCGCGGCTGCAACCCGCACGGGCGAGAGGAAGATCTCCGAACTAGGGTCGTATCATCTCCCCCACTCACAACCTCAAGGAGGCACACACACACACATCTACTTCCCGCGGGGCATGCAAGAATTTATCCAAGAGACAATCCACCTCTCTCACAATGGGACCCACCCTAGACAATCATTAGAAGACTAATTATAAAGTTTGAACCCCAGCTGGCCGTAAGGAATGGTGGCCCTCTGAGTAAGAATCCGTCGGTTATAAGAGTGTGAAGTTTTTTTCTTGCCTTTTTCTATTCTCTTATCGCATAAACGACCAATATATTCGTCGATGCAAACTAAAACTCTCGAAATCCTCATTGCGAATCGACACGTTTATAGAGAGAGAATATCGTGTCAAACCTGTTTCTTTGTCATAGAGTCTCGCCGAAGAATTAATTAAGGCAGAGTCAGATACGCGCTCACACAAACACACGCCCTCAACCACCAGTGTCTCAAACATTTCGTTAATTTCATAATCTCGCCAATGAATCTATTGACGTATACTTTTGCCTTTGCCTGTTAGAGTGCCACATGTTTGTTTAGAATAAAATTGGTAACACAGAAGTATCTCGAGTGTTTCTTTCCAAGTCCATGCAAAACTGTCTTATTCATAAGAACTGCAACCTGCGATGAGAAATGAACTTGGAGACCTAACATAACATAAACACACTTAGATAATCAGTAAATGTTTAATAAAAAATAATCGTTTTATCCCGATTGAAACAACTCTGGATAACGAAGCTAAGCCTAATTATCATAACTGCACACATTAACATAATCGCAAGCATTCGCATAAAATAATACGATTATCTCCATGATTATCATAATTTATGCATTTTTACTTTTATCAAAATTTCATAATCCGACATATACAACAGCGCTATCTGACGACAGAATCATCGCGCACCGCCGACGGCGAGCGTCGTGCCGACTCTTCATCCAGCAGTGGGCAGCAGCTCCAACTGCCGCCGAGCGAGAGAGTGCGAGGAAGCTGTGTGTATGACCCTCCCCCACACTCACGTACTCGCCACGTATCACTCAGCGTCTGCTTGACGCAAAGAATTGATCAAGGAGACAAAACCACCAAACACACACCGCACATACCGGGACTAATAATAATAAGAAGAATGATAAGAGTGCGTCAACTATTAGCTGATAATGAAGAACATTGCTGCCCATTGAGTCACGTGGATACGGTCGATGAGAAGTATTTTAGTCGTTATTTTTGTTAATTTTAACTGTACCGATGAATTCATTGACGAAACTAAACGTTTAGAAACCTACGTTATGAATCCACACACTCACAGGGAGACTTGTGTGAAATATTTCTTTTGATCACAGAATCTTGCCCGCGAAATGATTGAAGCCTCAGCCAATTGATAAGCATTTGCTGAAGCAGGCACACTGCCGCACACTATTGTTCCAAGACATTTAGTTAATTGCATAATCTACCAATGAATTCATTGAGGTCTACTTTTGCATTCGGGACATGTTTCTTTATTGCCGTTCGTATGAATATCGTCACATTTATTTTTAAGGACTTTTTCTTATCGCAGTTATGCTCGCGTTACTCTGAGGAATTAACCGATTGCTCTGTTACCCAGTTTAACAACGTAATCATTGAGGGTTAAATGTACGGACCAATGAGGAGCACATCTCCAGGAGTACTGTGTTGACAATTCCAAGCATAAGAGTTCGCATATTAGAGTGTTATGTTTTTGTTTAGAAAATAAAGTTGCTTAACACAAGTGTCTGAGTGGTTCCTTCTTAAGTTCATGCATAATGATCTTAATTATAAGAACTGTATCCTTCGGCGAGATCTGAATTCTGAGATCTGATGATGATTCAAGCCCATTGTATTTATTGTGCACTTCATTTATATTATTATTACATTGTAATATTAAAACAGGACCCTGCGGGGTGGGCTGGTAGGAATAATACTAATACCGGTATAGGGATATCGACCGGGTATAGAGGAGTTAAAAAGAAAATGATTTGTGCATGGGGGGTGAGCGATGACGTCCACACCCCCCTCCCCACTGACCCACGCGCCCACAGAGCAATGACGTCCACACCCCCCTCCCCACTGACCCGCGCGCCCACAGAGCAATGACGTCCACACCCCCCTCCCCACTGAACCGCGAGCCCACAGAGCAATGACGTCCACACCCCCCTCCCCACTGACCCGCGCGCCCACAGAGCGATGACGTCCACACCCCCCTCCCCACTGACTCGCGCGCCCACAGAGCGATGACGTCCACACCCCCCTCCCCACTGACTCACGAGCCCACAGAGCGATGACGTCCACACCCCCCTCCCCACTGACCCGCGCGCCCACAGAGCAATGACCTCCACACCCCCCTCCCCACTGATTCGCGCGCCCACAGAGCAAGGATTGCAACAGGTGATGTCATTGGCTGCGCCGGATGCGACGGCTATCTTGTTTAGTTCATTTAGTTCACGGATCGCAGGGGGAGCAGGCGGCCATCTTATCGGACAGACGGACGGCCTCGTGAAGCCTGTCGCAGTAGGCCTCGCGAAGCCTCCTGCACTAGGCCTCGCAAAGCCTTCTGCACTAGACCTCGCGAAGCCTTCTCTGCAGTAGGCCTCGCGAAGCCTTTTCTGCAGTAGGCCTCGCGAAGCCTGCCGCACTAGGCCTCGCGAAGCCTGCTGCACTAGTCCTCGCGAAGCCTTCTCTGCAGTAGACCTAGCGAAGCCTTCCCTGCAGTAGGCCTCACGAAGCCTTCTCTGCAGTAGGCCTCACGAAGCCTTCTCTGCAGTAGGGCTCGCGATGCCTTCTCTGCAGTAGGCCTCGCGAAGCCTGCTGCACTAGGCCTCGCGCCGTGCTTTTCGTGCACAAATAAGGCGATTAAATGTATCTCGTCTCTGTGTTAATAAATGTATCTTGTCTCTGTGTTAAAAAAAACGTGCTGCGTTTCAGTAAAGTAAATTTGAAGCGAAGTTTATTATTACACTTGTTAAGCCAGGAAAGCCCCACTGAGTCAAAAGGTTTTTGTAGGGTCCTGCCAAGTGTTTGCAGTAGGGGGCGATGTTGCTACACCAAATCAGACGATACGAAGGGAGAGATTGAGGCCTAGTTCTAGGCTTTAGGCCTAGCTGTAGGCTTTAGGGCGCTGTGAGTTAATTTTTAATTTAAATGTTTTAATGATTCATGTAAAAGCTTTAAATTTTAATGTTTCTATTTAAAAACATGAGGGAATGTAACATTGTTAAACATAACTCCCTTTCACACATGCGGGGGTACGATACGAAGGGAGAGTTTCAGGCCTAGTTCTAGGCTTTAGACCTAGCTGTAGGCTTTAGGGCGCTGTGAGTTGTTTTATTTAATTTCAAAGTTTTAATTAAAAGCTATCTCAGGGAATTGTAAGGGAATGTTACACGTGTCATGCCAAGTGTTTGCAGTAGGGGGCGATGTTGCTACCAGGATAGCGTCACTAAGTCTAAAGGTTTTTGTAGGGTCATGCCAAGTGTTTGCAGTAGGGGGCGATGTTGCTCCACCAAATCGGACGATACGAAGGGAGAGATTGAGGCCTAGTTCTAGGCTTTAGGCCTAGCTGTAGGCTTTAGGGTGCTGTGAGTTAATTTTTAATTTAAATGTTTTAATGATTTATGTAAAAGCTTTAAATTTAAATGTTTCTATTTAAAAACATGAGGGAATGTAACATTGTTAAACATAACTCCCTTTCACACACGCGGGGGTACGATACGAAGGGAGAGTTTCAGGCCTAGTTCTAGGCTTTAGGCCTAGCTGTAGGCTTTAGGGTGCTGTGAGTTTTTTTATTTAATTTCAAAGTTTTAATTAAAAGCTATCTCAGAGAATTATAAGGGAATGTTACACGTGTCATGCCAAGTGTTTGCAGTAGGGGGCGATGTTGCTACCAGGATAGCGTCACTGAGTCTAAAGGTTTTTGTAGGGTCATGCCAAGTGTTTGCAGTAGGGGGGCGATGTTGATACACGGACGGACGGACACATTAATCTATTGGTGGTCTGGTCCACTTCGTTCCTACCAGTATAATTATACAACTCACCATAATGCAGAATCAGTGGGAGCCCTGAGCTGTTTTCCTGTAACTAGATGGTCCCATCTGGGGGTGATGGGAGACGGTGACACCCGAAGTGTGTTGCCTATGTCCAGTCTACTCCATAATCTCGTTGTGGTTGCTGTCACTGCAAAAAACCCTGCTTCACAAATATAGGACGTTGGAATGGAATCAGACTTTTCAGTGCTTTTGTGGCAATCTCAGGATATTCCGCCTTGACTTTAATCCAGAATGTATCGAGATTTGAAGTTGTCTCAAACATACTTTTAAGGCCACCTTCATTTGCGATCTCAAGCAGTTGATCCTCTTCTAGCACAGACAAAGTCGATTCACCTGGCTTATTCACAAATGGGTCGCGGGTCCATTCCTGCCCAGTTCGGGGGTCTTTTGTGGTTGGGAAGTAATGATCAAACTCTTTTAAAAGCTTAGATAGGTTTTAATGCACCAGCTGGGAGAAAGGCCCTGGCTCAGTCTCTTTCAAAATCTCTGCTAGTGTTTGAAACATGTCAAAAGTTCCAATGTTCACTCGTCACCCCCATAATTCCAGTTTGGTTTGAATGCAGCCACTTTATCTGCCGAATTGAAAAGAGTTGTCGATCTCCCCTGAAATGACACATTGAGTACGTTGAGCAGGCTGAATGTCACACAAGTGAGCAAGTTTTGCGACCCATTCTGTGTCACTGAAATGTGCTGCCCCAGTGGTGACTGTTTTTCTAAAAGATATCTCTGGAGTGGCTCTCACAACTCAAAAACTCTGGCCAGTGATCTACCTTTAGAAAGCCATCTCACTTCTGTGTTTTAGAAATGATGTGTGGTGAGCGCGCTGCGCTACGAACCCGGCAACCCGAGTTTGATTCCCGCTCACGGCCACCACGATTCTTTTTACTGGTCCTGGGCTTCCCCTAGGTCGACTCAGCCTCAAACGAGTAACTGATGTGGTCTGTGTGAACATCGCCACTGGGGAGACAAAGGCGGCCGGGCGTGGTGAATCCAAGTCCCGGGCGAAGCCGGGTAGTCAATCTAGTCTTCTATATATAAAAGGAAAATTTGTGAACGTGTTGTGTTCAAAATGTATAGCGTACTTCCCGACATGCAACAAACTTGAAATTTGCCATGTGGGTACTTTGCAAAATGTACACCATGCACAAATTATAAAAAATACACTTTTGTATTTGGGGGGGGGGGGGGGAGAATGACCATGAAGTGTGTGGCGAGAATCGATATCTGCTGAGCGTTTGTGGTATCGATTAAACGGGAAGTGGCCGATTCTAAAGAAATCTACAACCTTCGATTCCTTTGCATGATCTAAAGAATCGAATCTTGACGCTCGAGCATAAGTTTATTTTCCCCCGCGCGTTGGGTTTTATTTAAATTTTTATTAATGAGATAATCATCTAATTTTTTTTTTCATTTGTATATGTTATGTTTTAAAGTTTTTGGAGTTTTTCAATAAATGTTTCCCACGGGCAACGCCGGGTGCTTTCCGCTCGTACTTCATTAATGAAACTGAACTATCAACTGGCGGTTTATTAACATAATTTATTCATAAATACCGTCGCTCGTTTATTGGGACGGGTTCAGCATCCAGGCATCATCCCTTGACATGAGCCCGTCTCATTAACATAATTTATTCACTTACACCGCCGCTCGTTGGGGGAGGGGATTGTGTGTTGAACCCCGCAAGTGACGTCATGTCACCTGCTGCCGCGTGACGTCACGAGCTGCTACACCGCGCTCGCTCTCACAGATCCGAGGTAAGAAGTTAACGTCGTGGTTATTGTTGTCGTGGTGGTTGTTGTTGTTTACCCAGGTAGAGCCTCTCCCCGTCTCTCTCTCTCGTCGGGATATCAATTGAGTAGCAGCGAGTATGAAATCGATGTCCAGGTTTGAACATTACAACGCGGGGCCTAGCCACGCGGGGCCTTGCCTCCTGCCCTCGCCTGATTGCATTTGCTTTAATCCTCTGCTTAAGTTTAATTCGTCTTCATCTGGCTCACTACTTCATGTGATCTCCTTTGCCAGTAGCAACATATAAGAAGAGGTTTTTCCCCTTTTTTGGCAACAAAACAGGTGTTAAGATATTCTTGGTTCTTTCGGTAAAGTCTCGTAGAAGGGAAATAATAAAGTAATACAATTTCTTGCTGTGGATTTCACAGCTGACGATGATTGCTCGTGTTGCAGTCGAAACGTCGTGAGAAATGTTAATAGTTTTATATTTTTATTCTTTTATTATTTCGCTTCTATTTGATGACTTTGCCGAAAGAACCAAGAAGATGAATCCCTGCAGTCAGGAAAGCTTCAAATCAAAATTTAGGTGTTAAGATGTTAAAACGCCGAACTGAAACCTCTTGCAAGGAATCGTGTCTGCATTAACCACAATATACTCGCGATTAATATGCAAACAAGAAACATGCTGATAATTGTTTTTTTACCCTTCTATCTGGCAACAAAACTGACATTATGACTGCAGGTATTGTGGTCTATGTAAACATGACTCCTTGTAAAAAAGGTGTCAGTTTTGTTGCCAGATAGAAGGGTAAACAACCAATTTTCAGATTTTTACTGGCAAATGAGGTTCCAATGGTGAAGAAACATGCTGTCATAATACATGCATTGTCTATGAAACTTTTTTGTCCACACCAGAGACAGCTTTCTTTCAAGCCTAGTCTCAAACGGTGTTAGACCAGAGGACAGCGCCAAAAGGCGTACACAGCACAAATACAACGCCACCATCAGAACATTGACGGCTCGGGGTGAGCAGCTACATCATGGGACCTCCTTTCCCAGTAGCAAAATATAAGAAGAGGTTTTACCCCTTTTATTATTTACAGATTTGTACTATTTTTTGTCTTGGGATATTTTTTGTATACGGTTTCTCCGTTTTTATTTCAATTGGTTGGACCATCTCTAGCTCCACCCACCTACCTTGATGCACCCATCTCAGGCCTATATAAGACCTTGTCTCAGCAGCTTTCTCTCTCACCTGACGACGATTGCTTGTATTGCGATGGAAACATCGTGATCTATTATTTTCTATGTACGCGACTTGACCAAAAGACCCAAAGAGTATTAATTCCTGCAGTCACGAAAGCTTTAAATCAATAAATAACTACGTATTCTTTGGTTCTTTCGGTAAATTCTAGATTTGAAGCTTTCGTGACTGCAATGATTCATATTCTTAGGTTTTTTCGGTAAAGTCACGTAGGTAAAAACATTAAAAAGTAAAATAAAATAAAAATGAGAGATTGCAGGAGCTACCACTCCGTTTATACCACCTTCTCCAACCATTATATAAACGGAGTGGTAGCTCCTGCAATCTCTCATTTACTTGATACAGCTGTCGTGGCTGTGACGGTACCACCTGAAGATGGAAGCTTGTGTTGCCTCCGAAACGTCGTGATTTTTATTTTATTTTACTTTTTTATGTTTTCACCTACGTGACTTTACCGAAAAAAAACCTAAGAATATCTTTCGGTAAAGTCACGTATAAAGATAAAATAATAAATTAAATAATAGCATACGAGGTTTCGATTGCAACACAAGCAATCATCATCAGGTATAATGAAATGGCAACAAAATCTAACCAGAAAACTATAGACAGACATATAAGCAGACAGATATCACCAAGATACATAGAGCAACACAGGTACAGAGAGGGGGGATCGTCTCTGTGGGGTGGCCTTAAATAGACAGAGGGGGGCGGAGGCAGAGAGAGGGAGGGGTTAGAGAAAAAATTTACATGTCAATGAGTACGAAGAAACACGTAGTAAAGTACGCATGCTTGAACATTAGGAGAGAGGGAGAAAGAACACACTAAATTAAATAACCTAGCAAAATATCGAAATGTTATGTAATACGACACAGAGAGTCGGTCAACACACAATTAACGCATAGCATGGTCGATTACGTATTTCAAAGATTGCTAAGTTAGAATTTAAGTGTGAAAATTCCAAGGAAAGACAAAACATAAAAAAACAAGAGGAACGGAGACACACAGACAGAGCAGAACATAAGAACGACAAAAAACGAGTGTAGACAGAAAAAAAGTACACTAAATATACAGGCAGAGAGAGAGAACAAAAAACCCAGAGAGAGAGAAAAAGGTAAACTTAGAACTTCCCCGTAGAAGTGGTTCAATCTTAATTTTGGGTTTTTTGTCTAAAATACCAATGTGATAAAGATGAAACTCTTACTCAAGAAAAACCGAAATGAATAATAAAATAAAACCGATGCCACGCATATTAAGGATTTATAGTGAAAAACTTTGTTATTACGGGTTAATATTTTTAGAAACTAACGAATAAAGTTGTGATTCTTCTTGGCCACAGATATTACTGTGTGAATTCAGAATATGAACTTATTTAAATTACCATCTCTGCTGGCTTATACAATGAAGGCTGGCCTGCCTATGATTCATGCAACCAGACTTTATTGTATTAGAAGCTTACAGATCCTTAAGATATCAATATAGAATATAATCTTGAGTCTCTTTGGCAGGCGATCGGACTGCCGATGACTGGTGCCAGCAGTGTCAAGATTGGCCTCTGTGGAGGAGGTCCATGAGCTATGCTGCAGGGTAGTTAATAGATATTTTCTCTGCAACAACGATGAGGTCGGAAGAGCGACGCCCACATGAATAGGTGGAACGCTGGGTTCATAAAACCCAGCAAGACAGTGGGGAGCACAGCTGGTTCATCTGTCAGTCATCTCTTGACACCTGGATCATTCCCATGACCTGATGACAAGGAATCCACACTTACATGGCCTTAAATTGCACCTATCATGGCATTAGCACTGGGATAAGGTTACTTGCAATTCGTCATGAATGTTGGATTTTTGTTTATATATGTTAATGATGCATGTGAAATGTATGTGTATTTAATAGTTTATCTTTGTGGGGAGCTGTGGTGCAGTTATTTCACTGCATTATGAACTCAACAATTAGTTTGATTATCACCGACAGCAAACATGATTGATAAGTGAAAGCTGAACTGCTTGTGGGCCTCTGCTATGTTGATTGATCTTAAATTAATTACATGGTGAAGGGAGGAAGCGTCAATATTGAGCCGATGAAGGCGGCCAGGCATGGTTCTGGACATACCACCACTTTTTACCATGCCAGTGTGTGACAATGTCAAGTTTGTATTTGCAGTAAATTATATTAACTATTGAACATGGTGGTTAAATCAAAACAATCGTTTATTTTAGTTCCCCTCTGGAACGTTTTGGAAGAATGGAAACAGGAAATTAACAGCACATATGCTGCTGAAGTTAGATCTGTTCATCCAAGCATTCAAGCAAATCTGAGCCTGACTTCACACCTCTAAAGTCACGATTGAACATTTAATTATGCATTTCTGCATAATACAAATAGTATTATTCCCAACAGCATTTGCTGTGTTAGCTGAATTTTGCTTGTATAAATACTACTTTTGCAGCGAGGCTGCCGAAATTGTGTGCTTGGTGTTTTGGGTTAACATTTATTTTGAAGATACTAGTGCTTCCAGGCATATTTATAATTTTTTGCCCTCTTATTGTGTGCCTTAACAGCCGGTGTGATGAATTGGGGATAATCATGAATATATGAATAAATATAGACGTGTAAGTCATGTGAGACTGTGTATATATTAATTCCTCTGTGCCTTGATACTGATGAAGATGGTGTGGACATTTTTTTCTGTCTGCAGCTGATGCTTCTTCTGATGCTTCCTCTGCAGAATTGGTCAGATGGAGCAAAGGCACTCAGCGCAGCTCGGTACACAAGGACAACAATGGGACCAGTATGCAAACAGCATGGATTCTACTGGAAATTTTACACAGGACCAGAGATCTCCAATGGGAGAGAAACCCTTCAAGTGCACTGTGTGTGGGAAGGCATTTTCAGATTCATATGCTCTTAAAACACACCAGAGAACTCACACAGGAGAGAAACTCTTCAAGTGCACTGTGTGTGGGAAGGCAATTTCAAGTTCATTTAATCTTAAAAAACACCAGAGAACACACACAGGAGAGAAACCCTTCAAGTGCACTGTGTGTGGGAAGGCATTTTCAGATTCATCTGCTATTAAAAAACACCAGAGAACTCACACAGGAGAAAAACCCTTCAAGTGCACTTTGTGTGGGAAGGCATTTTCAAGTTCATTTCATCTTAAAAGACACCAGAGAATACACACAGGAGATAAACCCTTCAAGTGCAGTGTGTGTGAGATGGCATTTTCACAGTCATCTAATCTTAAAATCCACCAGAAAACACACACAGGAGAGAAACCCTTTAAGTGCAGTGTGTGTGAGATGGCATTTTTACACTCAGCAAATCTTAAAAAGCACCAGAGAACGCACACAGGAGAGAAACCCTTTAAGTGCAGTGTGTGTGGGAAGGCATTTTCAAGTTCATATTATGTTAAAATACATCAGAGAACACACACAGGAGAGAAACCCTTCAAGTGCACTGTGTGTGGGAAGGCATTTTCAAGTTCATTTTATCTTAAAAAACACCAGAGTACGCACAAAGTAGAGAACCCCTTCAAGTGCGGTGTGTGTGAGATGGCATTTTCACATTCATCAAATCTTAAAATACATCAGAGAACACACACCGGAGAGAACCCCTTCAAGTGCACTGTGTGTGGGAAGGCATTTTCAAGTTTATATTATCTTAAAATCCACCAGAGTACGCACAAAGTAGAGAACCCCTTCAAGTGCAGTGTGTGTGAGATGGCATTTTCACATTCATCAAATCTTAAAATACACCAGAGAACACACACAGGAGAGAACCGCTTCAAGTGCAGTGTGTGTGAGAAGGCATTTTCACATTCATCAAATCTTAAAATACACCAGAGAACACACACAGGAGAGAACCGCTTCAAGTGCAGTGTGTGTGAGAAGGCATTTTCAAGTTCATTTTATCTTAAAATACACCAGAGAACACACACAGGAGAGAAACCCTTCAAGTGCAGTGTTTGTTGTAAGGCATTTTCAAGTTCATTTTATCTTAAAATGCACCAGAGAACGCACACAGGAGAGAAACCCTTTACGTGCAGTGTGTGTGGGAAGGCATTTTCCAGTTCGTCTTATCTTAAAATACACCAGAGAATACACACAGGAGAGAAACCCTTTAAGTGCACTGTGTGTGGGAAGGGAACTTAGTGCATTTTCAAGTTCGTCTAATCTTAAAATACACCAGAGAATACACGCAGAGAAACCCTTCAAGTGCACTCTGTGCGGGAAGGCGTTTGCACAGTCAACACAGCTTAATACACACCAGAGAACACACTGGCATCAGAAGACCCCCAAGGAGTGTAGTCTGAAATCGACTTGTGAAAGTCAAAGTGCTGCAATGAGCCCATCCCTCCTGAAAAAAGAACCAGAAGTAAATTCCAGCTTGGACACTATGACATGTATCAAGGTGACATTTGAAGAGGCGAAGGTGAAATTTGAAGAGGCGACGGTGAAGAGCGAAGAAGTGACAGTGAAGAGCGAAGAAGTGAAGGTAAAATGTGAAGATGAACATTCAACTCCAAAATGTGACCTTCACATCAATGGAGACAACGTGAAGCAGGAGGAGAATTCTGACTGTGAGGCAGAGCGAGGCATTTCCCAGCAGTTTGTTGAAGTGGAGGTGTGGGTGGACTTCTTAGACAATACAAAGTCAAATGGAGAACCTGTAGATGTGTAAGCTTGAGATAATGAAGCTGCAATATATTCACATTTGTCACAGGCCTTTAAGGAAAAGAACGTGAAGTTGAACACTCCATTCCTCGGTTCAACCTGCAGAGTAAGAGCGGTCAGTATTTGCGGACCTGTGGGTTGGGTAGATCTCTAACTAGGAGCGAGAGCCAATAAGCTTCCAAGCATTCACTATGCTATAATAATATTAGCATTGATATTATGCTTGCTTAATCGCCTCTGCAACTCGGAGTTTTGTATCATATCTCACTACAAACACTCGAAGAGCACGCCTTTTGGCGTCCTCTGGATTAACACCGTTTGATACTAGGCTCTAAAGAAAGCTGTCTCTGGTGTGCACCAATCAGTTTCAAAGACAATGCATATGTTGTGTCCTATGACTAACCACACGGTGATCCGAGGGGAGAGAAATTCACGTAAAGACAGAGACACGACCCATCGAGACTACTGCGAGTTACAGAAGACTACAAGTGACAGAGAGTACTGCGACGGGCAGACTCCGGGGCATGGCCTCGAGATCAACAATGGGTGTTGTATCTCGCAGAGAAGAGGGGCGAGGTGATGCTCGGTGCTGAGTTCGGCATGGACCGACAGAGTATCGCTGAGAGTTTTATTCTACATTCATCCTGATGTTTTCAGTTGCTTTCAAAGTCAAGGATTGCGATAAGTTGTATTGTACTAAGCTTTCACAGTTGTTCAAGAGGTGTGTGAATACAATTTACAAGTTTTGAGAGTGAGTTCCAGCTCCCATGAGCAGCTGCGATCGGCAGGCTCCGGGGAACCTGCCCCCGTGACTGGCACATCGTCAACGAGCTGCACCAGCAGAAGCCACGAGTCTACGAAATCAACGCAAAGAGTTGACTTACTGCAAGCAGCAAGCTCTGGGGTGGGACTCTGCAATCAACCAAGGATGAAGAGGCTTGCCGAGTAGCAATTGGTCACCGAATACGAGCTCGGCGCTGACGGAAGAAGTATCGCTCAAAGTTATTCTACATTGAGTGCCAGCTCCCACGAGCAGCTGCAGCCCGAGAGATAGAGTGACGAGCAACGACGAGCAATCACCCGGGAGAAAGGGTGGAAGCCCAATCATCGACCAAGCCAGCATCGCAGAGAACCAGCTGCACGCGCAACCAGGCATCGCCAGAGAGCACGGAGCCGGAGAGAGAGCGCAGCAGCGCCACCGAGCACGGGTGTCAGCTGCCAGCGGACGAGCGGCGAGCGCTGTCGAGCACCTTCAAAGACAGGCATCGTGCCGACTCAGCTCATCCAGCAGGGGAAAGAGCCTGACCAGCCGCCCGTGAGGAAGAGGAGAGCGCCGTGGGTTCGACCCACACCCACTGACCAGCACCAGCTGTGAACCAAGACAAGAGTGAGGAACAGCGACCAGCAGACGAGCTGCGGCCGCTATCTGACGACGGAATCATCGCGCACCACCGACGGCGAGCGTCGTGCCGACTCTTCATCCAGCAGTGGGCAGCAGCTCCAGCTGCCGCCGAGCGAGAGAGAGCGAGGAAGCTGTGTGTATGACCCTCCCCCACACTCACATACTCGCCACGTATCACCCAGCGTCTGCTTGACGCGAAAAATTCATCAAGGAGACAAAACACATACCGCACATACCGGAACTAATAATAATAAGAATAATCATAAGAGTGCGTCAACTCTTAGCTGATAATGAAGAACATTGCTGCCCATCGAGTCACGTGGATACGGTCGATGAGTAGTATTTTAGTCTTTCGTTTTGTTAATTTTAACTGTACCGATGAATTCATTGACGAAACTAAACGTTTAGAAACCTACGTTACGAATCCACACACTCACAGGGAGACTATTGTGTTGAAATATTTTGATCACAGAATCTTGCCCGCGAATTTATTGAAGCCTTAGCCAATTGATAAGCAATTGCTGAAGCAGGCACACTGCCGCACACCATTTTTCCAAGACGTTTAGTTAATTACATAATCTACCAATGAATTCATTGAGGTCTACTTTTTCATTCGGGACATGTTTCATTATTGCCGTTCGTATGAATATCATCACATTTACTTTTTAAGGACTTATTCCTATGCTCGCGTTACTCTGAGGAATTAACCGATTGCTCTGTTACCCAGTTTAACAACGTAACCATTGAGGGTTAAATGTACGGATCAATGAGCACATTTCCAGGAGTACTGTGACAATTCCAAGCATAAGAGTTTGCATATTAGAGTGTTATATTTTTGTTTAGAAATTAAAGTTGCTTAACACAGAAGTGTCTGAGTGGTTCCTTCCTAAGTTCATGCATAATGATCTTAATTATAAGAGCTGTATCCTTCGGCGAGATCTGAATTCTGAGACCTGATAGAATTACACTAAAACATAATCAGTAAAAGTTAAAGCGAGAATCTATGTATTATCACAATTAGTAAGAAGACAATTTATTCACGGACGGGGGGGGGGGGGGGGGGGGGGGATGGTTTCATGATGATTCAAGCGCATTATATTTATTGTGCACTTTATTTATATTTTTACATTGTAATATGAAATAATGATACAACTCACCATAATGCAGAATCAGTGGGAGCCCTGAGCTTGTTTTCCTGTAACTAGATGGTCCCATCTGGGGGTGATGGGAGACCGTGACACCCGAAGTGTGTTGCTTATGTCCAGTCTACTCCATAATCTCGTTTTTGTTGCTGTCACTGCAGAAAACCCTGCTTCACAAAGACAGGACGTTGAAAATGGAAGCAGGCTTTTCAGTGCTTTTGTGGCAATCTCAGGATATTCCTCCTTGACTTTAATCCAGAACGTATCGAGATTCGAAGTTGTCTCAAAACATACTTTTAAGGCCACTTTCATTTGCGATCTCAAGCAGTTGATCCTCTTCTAGCACAAAGTCGATTCACCTGGCTTATTCACAAATGGGTCGCGGGTCCATTCCTTCCCAGTTTGGGGTCTTTTGTGGTTGGGAAGTAATGTTCAAACTCTTTTAAAAGCTGAGATAGGATTTAATGCACCAACCGGGAGAAATGCCCTGGCTCAGTCTCTTTCAAAATCCCTGCTAGTGTTTGAAACATGTGAAAAGTTCCAATGTTCACTCGTCGCCCCCATAATTCCAGTTTGGTTTTGAATCTGAGGTCGCAAACGGGGTTTGATTCCTTACCCATACCCGGCCGCACCAGGGTCGCAAACTGGTAGGGTACGGGTATCGGGTAGGGTACGGGTACCCGATTGCGACCTCTGGGATGAAGCCATGTTGCAGGCGCGGGTGGGTTGATTCTAGGACAGACATGGGCAAAGTACGGCCCGCGGGGCGTATACGGCCCGTTGGGCTTTTTAATCCGGCCCGCCGAACTTGTCCAAATATTATTATATTAAATGTTACCTTCCTCCTGTAATTCCCCCATTCCCCCATTAGATGGTGCACTTTATGTAATTCAACAAAACTTAACTCCCGAGTTCTCTCCGAATTTCACGAGTCCGTTCTAGACCCCACAGTTTTTTAAAGCGTTTTAAGCACAGAAAACAATTCAAGTTTGAAAAATCATTAATTATACAAACTTTTCAATAATTTCCTTCACTTCGATTAAAATTTTCTTTAAAAACTTCTTCTCACCAACATTACCACTCGTTACCACTTTCTCCGAAGGCAAGTTTTTTAAATAATACATGGTACAGACAGCAGACATTTTGTGTCCGGAGATCAAAAGCAAATTTGAAAAAGTCAGTTTATCACACAGGACTGTGACTCGCCGTGTGGAACTAATTGATAAAAATATAGCCAGTCAATTAAACAAAAAGTCTGATTCCTTTGAGTTATATTCACTAGCACTGGATGAAAGTACGTACGTAGAATACACTGCTCGGCTCCTCATTTTTATCCGAGGCATTGACGATAGTTTTGCAGTAACAGAGGAGTTTTTGACCATGGAGTCCCTGAAAGGAACAACGCGGGGAGAGGATTTGTATAACCAGGTATCTGCTGTCATCGAAAGAATGATGCTACGTCGGAGTAAACTTGTCAATGTCACGACGGATGGATCGCCAAATTTAACTGAAAAAAATGTGGGGCTGCTGAAAAGAATCCAGGATAAAGTGAAAGAGGAAAACCCTGTCCAGGATCTTATTTTCCTTCACTGCATCATCCATCAGGAATCTCTGTGTAAGTCTGTATTGCAGCTTAATCATGTCGTGAATCCAGTCGTAAAACTTGTAAACTTTATACGAGCAAGGGGACTTCAGCACCGTCAGTTTATTGCGTTCCTGGAGGAAACTGATGCGGATCATCAAGACTTACTCTCGTGTCCGCTGGTTAAGTTTGGGGAAAGTGTTACAACGAGTGTGGGAGCTGAAAGAGGACATCATCGCATTTTTGGAGTTGATGGGGAAATCTGACGAATTCCCTGAGCTAAGCGACAAGAACTGGCTTAGTGACTTTGCGTTTGCTGTGGACATATTTTCACACATGAATGAGCTGAATGTGAAATTGCAGGGGAGAGATCAGTTTGTTCACGACATGTACAAACATCTGAAAGCCTTCAAATCCAAGCTCACTTTGTTCTCCGGACAAATTGTGAACAAATCTTTCGCTCATTTCCCCACACTTTCCATGCAGGAAGAGGCACCGCGAAACGCAAAAAAATACATCAAATCGCTTGAGGACTTGCACGGAGAATTCTGCCGTAGGTTCTCTGATTTCGAAAACATTGAACAGTCACTTCAGCTGGTGTCCTGTCCCCTGTCACAAGACCCTGAAACAGCACCACAGGAGCTGCAGTTGGAACTGATAGATCTTCAGTCTGACTCCGTCCTAAAGGAGAAGTTCAACTCTGTTAAACTGAATGACTTTTATGCTTCACTTAACAGAGCCACGTTTCCAAACCTCCGGAGGACTGCACAGAAGATACTGACTTTGTTTGGTTCGACTTATGTGTGTGAGCAGACATTCAGCGTCATGAACGCCAACAAAGCCCGTCACAGATCAAAGTTAACGGATCAGCACCTCAGATCTATCCTGAGAATTGCCACAACCAAAATAACTCCAGACTTGAATGCACTGGGAAAAATGGGAGATCAGCAACACTGTTCCCACTGAGACTGATGATCTGTTGCTGCAGCGAGGTTGAAACCAAATCTCCATCACACAACCTGCGTGGCTGCTCTAACCTGTTAATGTAGATAATAAAGAAGTTCAAGTGAGGTCATTGGTTTGGGCGCAGGCCTCAGATGTTTTCATGATGTTTCATCAGTCACTTTACGACATGTTTTATTTATTGTTCGTGCAATTTGTTAAATTTCCTTGCAAATAAATGCTTTGCTACCTGTGAAAGGCCAAATCCTTTCATGTAATGATTTTTACATGTCATTTATACTAGTTCACACAAACACTCCATCCATCTCGATTTAAAGCTTTCGTGACTGCAGGGATTCATCTTGGTTCTTTCGGTAAAGTCACGTAGAAGGGAAGTAATAAAATAATGAAAATAAAACATAATAAAATAATTCTCACGACGTTTCGGCTACAACGCAAGCAGCCGTCTTCAGGTGTTATAGCAATACAGTATATTATTTAATGTTGGGTTTATCTATCTATATATATAAAATCGCGAATCTGTCTGTGTGTCTGTGTGTCGCCGGACCATACGCAGTTTCATTGGACGGCGGTTGCCCCTGGAAACGGGTAGCCGCGGGGTGGACGCCATTTTTAATTCCCGTTAAAAATAGGCGCACGCATTAACACGCGACTCTGAGGTAAATTCATCAAAGTTTCACGTCCTCTTCTCTCCCCCCCCCCACCACAATGTGTGCAATTACTATTATAGGGTCGGTAGATTATAAAATTATAGCGATTAGACAGTATTATTGTAGCGCGGGGGGGGGGGGGGGGGAAACGGCACCCGTACCCAGCCTCAGCCGGGTGGGCAATTTAGGCGAGGCCGGAGGCTCTGCACGGTACTAGGCCTCTACACCCCACCACCCTACAGCGGATCGGCGCGCCTCACTAAAACCCTACAACAGATCGGCACGCCTCACACAAACCCTACAACGGATCGGCGCGCCTCACTAAAACCCTACAGCGGATCGGCGCGCCTCACTAAAACCCTACAACGGATCGGCGCGCCTCACTAAAACCCTACAACGGATCAGCGCGCCTCACACAAATCCTACAACGGATCGGTACGCCTCACACAAATCCTCCAACGGATCGGCGCGCCTTACACAAACCCTACAACGGAAGCGTAACGCATTGTAGTGTCGTGGTTAGCGCGCCGCGCTACGAACCCGGCGACCCGAGTTCCATTCCCGCTCACGGCCACCACCGGTGACGATTATTTGAACCGGTCCTGGGCCTCCCCTAGGTCGACTCAGCCTCAAAACGAGTAACTGGTGTGGCGTATGAACATCGCCACTGGGGAGACAAAGGCGGCCGGGCGTGGTGGATCCAAGTCCCGGGCGAAGCCGGGTAGTACAGCTAGTGGCAGTATATAGTACGATGTATGCTCGTGTGATGTAAGAGAATAAAGTTTAGATGGAAGCATATATAATTTTTACGACGTAGAATTGTAATGTATTACTTGCTGTGAGTAACTCAGCTTATTGTAGAGTATAGTAAGTACACTGATGGTGCTATGCAGTTTATACTTTAGTTTTTTATGTAGTTTATACTTTAGTTTTCTACGTGGTTGTTTAGTAACTGCAGCTATATACTATTAACATTCCTTTCCTTTGTTAATGCTACTCCGTACACCCTCCCTTGGTGCTGCTGATCCTGCATAATGCATGGGCATAATATGACTTTGAAACCCCCCCTCCCACCTCCTACGCATTTCCCATGAATATGCTAAATTCCTCTTCATATGCACATTCTTTTTGTTAAGGCGCTCTTCTTGCACCTCCAACCCAGCGTATATATAAGCTCCTAGCTTGGTAGTGTCTCATTCTTCACCTGAAGACGGCTGCTTGCGTTGTAGCCGAAACGTGAGAATTATTTTATTATGTTTTATTTTTATTATTTTATTACTTCCCTTCTACGTGACTTTACCGAAAGAACCAAGAAGATTAACTCCATCCATCTGTTCCTGGCCTGGCCCCTCTGTCAAATTTTAGAACCCATTGTGGCCCGCGAGTGAAAAAGTTTGCCCACCCCTGTTCTAGGAACTTGAATTGTGAGAAGAGACAAGACGTTGGGAAATGAGTGACAAACAGTTACTCACCAGTGACTCACGGCCTACCCGTACCCGGCCGCACCAGGGTCGCAAACGGGTACCCGGGTAGGGTACAGGTATCGGGTACCCGGTTGCGACCTCTGCTTTGAATGCAGCCACTTTATCTGCCGAATGGAACCGAGTTGTCGATCTCCCCTGAAATGACAGATTGAGTACGTTTAGTAGGCTGAATATGTCACATAAGCGAGCAAGTTTTGCGACCCATTCGGTGTCACTGAAATGTGCTGCCAGTGGTGACTGTTTTTCTAAAATATATCTCTGGAGTGGCTCTCACAACTCAAAAACTCTGGCCAGTGATCTACTTTTAGAAAGCCATCTCACTTCTGTGTTTTAGAGATGATGTGTGGTGAGCGCGCTGCGCTACGAACCCGGCGATCCGAGTTCGATTGCCGCTCACGGCCACCACGATTATTTTTACTGGTCCTGGGCTTCCCCTAGGTCGACTCAGCCTCAAACGAGTAACTGATGTGGTCTGTGTGAACATCGCCACTGGGGAGACAAAGGCGGCCGGGCGTGGTGAATCCAAGTCCCGGGTGAAGCCGGGTCGTCAAGCTAGTCTTCTATATATAAAAGGAAAATTTGTGAATGTGTTGTCTGTTCAAAATGTTTAGCGTACTTCCCGACATGCAACAAACTTGAAATTTGGCATGTGGGTACTTTGCAAAATGTACACCATGCACAAATTATAAAAATACCCTTTTGTATTTTAGGGGGGGGGGGGATGGCCATGAAGTGTGTGGCGAGATTCGATATCTGCTGAGCGTTTGTGGTATCGATTAAACGGGAATAGGCCGATTCTAAAGAAATCTACAACCTTCGATTCCTTTGCGCGATCTATAGAATCGAATCTTGATGCGCGAGCGTAAGTTTATTTTCCACCGCTCATTTGGTTTTGTTTAAATTTATTTAAATTTTATTAAAAATTTTATTAATTTTATGAATAAGATAAAAATCTTATTTTTTTTTCATTTGTATATGTTATTTTTTAAAGTTTTTTGAGAAGTTTTTCAATAAATGTTTCCCCCGGGCAACGCCGGGTGCTTCCCGCTAGTACCTAATAAATGAAACTGAAACTACTCTTTGGTTCTTTTGGTAAAGTCACGTATAAAGATAAAATAATAAATTAAAAAAGTAGTATGCTTTTATTTAATTTATTATTTTATCTTTATACGTGACTTTACCGAAAGAACCAAAGAGTAATTCCTGCAGTCACGACAGCTTAAAATTAAGATTGAAACTGAAGCTATCAATTGGCGGTTAATTAACATAATGAATTCATAAATGCAATCGCTAGTTCATTGCAACGGGTTCAGCATCCACTCAACACTGGGCATGAGCCCGTCTCATTAACATAATTTATTCAGTTACACCGCCGCTCCTTGGGGGAGGGGATTGTGTTCTACCCCGCAAGTGACGTCATGTCACCTCCTGCTGCCGCGTGACGTCACGAGCTGCTACACCGCGCTCGCTCTCACAGATCCGAGGTGAGAAGTTAACATCGTGGTTGTTGTTGTCGTTGTGGTTGTTGTTGTTTGCCCAGGTAGAGCCTCTCTCCGTCTCTCTCGTAGGGATCTCAATTGAGTAGCAGCGAGTATGGAATCGATGTCCAGGTTTGAACATTACAACGCGAGGCCTAGCCACGCGGGGCCTTGCCTCCTGCCCTCGCCTGATTGCATTTGCTTTAATCCTCTGCTTAAGTTTAATTCGTCTTCATCTGGCTCACTACTTCATGGGACCTCCTTTGCCAGTAGCAACATATAAGAAGAGGTTTTTTCCCCCCCTTTTTTGGCAACAAAGCAGGTGTTAAGATATTCTTGGTTCTTTCAGTAAAGTCACGTAGAAGGAAAATAATAAAGTAATACAATTTTCTTGCTGTGTTTTTCACGCCTGACGATGATTGCTCGTGTTGCCGTCGAAACGTCGTGAGAATTTATTTTTTATTTTATTGTTTTTCTTCTCCGTGACTAGGTGTGAAAAACAGCAATAATTTTTTAGAAAATTTTTGATAATTTTCTTACCGTGTTTTTCACACCTGACGATGATTGCTAGTGTAGCAGTCGAAACGTCGTGAGAAATTATTTAATTTTATTTGTCTTCTACGTGGCTAGGTGTGAAAAACAGCAAGAATTTTTTGGAAATTTTTGGAAAATGTTCTTGCTGTGTTAATTCACACCTGATTGCTCGTGTTGCAGTCGAAACGTCGTGAGAATTTATTATTTGTTTTTCTTCTAGGTGAATTTAGGTGTGAAAAACAGCAAGAAAATTTTAGAAAATTGTCTTGCTGTTTTTCACACCTGATTGCTAGTGTTCCAGTCGAAACGTGAGAATTTTTTAATTCTTTTTTGTTTTGTTTTTCTTTTACGTGACTAGGTGTGAAAAACAAGAAATTTTTTGAAAATTTTGGAAAATTTTCTTGCTGTGTTTTTCACACCTGACGATGATTGCTCGTGTTGCAATCGAAACGTGAGAAATTTTAGTTTTATATATTTTTTATTTTATTATTTCGCTTCTACCTGATGACTTTACCAAAAGAACCAAGAATATGAATCCCTGCTGTCAGGAAAGCTTCAAATCTAAATTTAGGTGTTAAGATGTTAAAACGCCGAACTGAAACCTCTTGCAAGGAATCGTGTCTGCATTAACCACAATATACTCGCGATCAATATGCAAACAAAAGACATGCTGTGATAATCTGTGCATTGTCTGTGAAATTGATTGGTCCACACCAGAGACGGCTTTCTTTCGAGCCTAGTCTCAAACGGTGTTAGACCAGAGGACAGCGCCAAAAGGCGTACACAGCACAAAGACAACGCCACCATCAGAACAATGACGGCTCGGGGAGTGAGCACCTACATCATGGGACCTCCTTTCCCAGTAGCAAAATATAAGAAGATTTGTACTATTTTTTGTCTTGGGATATGTTTTTGTATACGGTTTCTCCGTGTTTATTTCAATTGGTTGGACCATCTCTAGCTCTACCCACCTACCTTGATGCACCCATCTCAGGCCTATATAAGACCTTGTCTCAGCAGATTTCTCTCTCACCTGAAGACGATTCCTTGTGTTGCGATCGAAACGTCGTGATCTATTATTTTCTATGTACGCGACTTGATCGAAGGACCCAAAGAGTATAATTCCTGCAGTCACGAAAGCTTTAAATTAATAAATAACTACGTAGTTTGAGAAGCTCCCAATGCACCATCGGAATCTTCTTTGCCAGTAGCTAAATATGATAATTGTTTTTTACCCTTTTATCTGGCCACCATTGTATCTGGCAACTAAACTGACACAAATGTTTACCCTTTTATCTGGCAACAAAACTGACACCATTTAATGCCTGCATGTATGCGCAGGCATTAATAGATATTTTATCTGCAACAACGATGATGTCGGAAGAGCGACGCCCCCATGAATAGTGTTAACTCTGGGTTCCTAAAACCCAGCAGACAGTGGGGAGCACAGCTGGTTCATCTGTCAGTCATCTCTTGACAACTGGATCATTCCCATGACCTGATGACAAGGAATCCACACTTACATGGCCTTAAATTGCACCTATCATGGCATTAGCACTGGGATAAGGTTACTTGCAATTCGTCATGAATGGTGGATTTTAGTTTTATATGTTAATGATGCATGTGAAATGTATGTGTATTTAGGAGTTTATCTTTGTGAGGAGCTGTGGTGCAGTTATTCACTGCATTATGAACTCAATAATTAGTTTGATTATCACCGACAGCAAACATGATTGATAAGTGAATGCTGAACTGCTTGTGGGCCTCTGCTGTGGTGATTGATCTTGAATTAATTACATGGTGAAGTGAGGAAGCGTCAATACTGAGCAGATGAAGGCGGCCAGGCATGGTTCTGGACACACCACCACTTTTTACCATGCCAGTGTGTGACAGTGTCAAGTTTGTATTTGCAGTAAATTATATTAACTATTGAACATGGAGGTCAAATCAAAACAATCGTTTATTTTAGTTTCCCTCTGGAATTTTTTGGAAAAATGGAAACAGGAAATTAACAGCACATATGCTGCTGAAGTTAGATCTGTTCATCCAAGCAAATCTGAGCCTGGCTTCACACCTCTAAAGTTTCGATTGAAAATGTATGTATGCATTTATGCATAATACAAATAGTAGTATTCCCAACAGCCTTTGCTATGTTAGCTGAAATTTGCTTTTAAAATACTACTTTTTCAGCCAGGCAGCCGAAATTGTGTTCTTGGTGTTTTGGGTTAACATTTATTTTGAAGATACTAGGGCTTCCAGGCATATTTATAACCATTTGCCCTCTCATTGTTTGCCTTAACAGCCCATGTGATGAATTGGGGATAATCTTGAATATATGAATAAAGATAGACGTGTAAGTCATGTGTGACTGTGTATATATTCATTCCTCTGTGCCTCGATTTTGATTAAGATGGTGTGGACATTTTTTTTCTGTCTGCAGCTAATGCTTCTTCTGATGCTTCCTCTGCAGAATTGGTCTGATGGAGCAAAGGCACTCAGCGCGGCTCGGTAGACAAAGACAACAATGGGACCAGTATGCAAACAGCATGGATTCTACTGGAAATTTTACACAGGACCAGAAATCTCCAACGGGAGAGAAACCCTTCAAGTGCACTGTGTGTGGGAAGGCATTTTCAAGTTCATTTTATCTTAAAATACACCAGAGAACACACACAGGAGAGAAACCCTTCAAGTGCACTGTGTGTGAGAAGCCATTTTCAAGTTCATTTTATCTTAAAATACACCAGAGAACACACACAGGAGAGAAACCCTTCAAGTGCACTCTGTGCGAGATGGCATTTTCACAGTCATCTAATCTTACAATCCATCAGAGAACGCACCAAGGCGAGAACCCCTTCAAGTGCAGTGTGTGTGTGAAGGCATTTTCAAGTTCATATTATCTTAAAATACACCTGAGAACACACACAGGAGAGAAACCCTTCAAGTGCAGTGTGTGTGGGAAGGCATTTTCAAGTTCATTTTATCTTAAAAAACACCAGAGAACACACACAGGAGAGAAACCCTTCAAGTGCAGTGTGTGTGAGATGGGATTTTCACAGTCATCTAATCTTACAATCCACCAGAGAATGCACAAAGGAGAGAACCCCTTCAAGTGCAATGTGTGTGAGATGGCATTTTCACATTCATCAAATCTTAAAATGCACCAGAGAACGCACACAGGAGAGAAACCCTTTACGTGCAGTGTGTGTGGGAAGGCATTTTCAAGTTTGTCTTATCTTAAAATACACCATAGAATACACACAGGAGAGAAACCCTGCAAGTGCAGTGTGTGTGAGAAGGCATTTTCAAGTCCATCTAATCTTCAAATGCACATGAGAAAGCACAAAGGAGAGAACCCCTTCAAGTGCAGTGTGTGTGAGATGACATTTTCATATTCATCAAATCTTAAAATGCACCAGAGAACGCACACAGGAGAGAAACCCTTTAAGTGCAGTGTGTGTGGGAAGGCATTTTCAACTTCGTCTTATCTTAAAATCCACCAGAGAATACACACAGGAGAGAAACCCTTCAAGTGCACTCTGTGCGGGAAGGCGTTTGCACAGTCAACACAGCTTAATACACACCAGAGAACACACAGGCATCAGAAGATCCCCAAGGAGTGTAGTCTGAAATCGACTTGTGAAAGTCAAAGTGCTGCAATGAGCCCATCCCTCCTGAAAAAAGAACCAGAAGTAAATTCCAGCTTGGACACTATGAAATGTATCAAGGTGAAATTTGAAGAGGCGACAGTGACCAGCGAAGAAGTGACAGTGAAGAGCGAAGAAGTGAAGGTAAAATGTGAAGATGAACATTCAACTCCAAAATCGGACCTTCACGTCAATGGAGGCAACGTGAAACAGGAGGAGAATTCTGACTGTGAGGCAGAGCAAGGCAACTCCAAGCAGTTTGTGGAAGTGGAGGTGTGGGTGGACTTCTTAGACAATACAAATTCAAATGGAGAACCTGTAGATGTGTAAGCTTGAGACAATGAAGCTCCAATAGATTCACATTTGTCACAGGCCTTTAATGAAAAGAACGTGAAGTTGAACACTCCATTCCTAGGTTCAACCTGCAGCGGTCAGTATTTGCGGACCTGTGGGTTGGGTAGATCTCTAACTAGGAGCGAGAGCCAATAAGCTCCCAAGCATTCACTATGTTATAATAATATTAGCATTTATATGGTGCTTGCTTAATCGCCTCAGCAACTCGGAGTTTTGTATCATCTCATCACAAATACTCGAAGAGCACGCCTTTTGGCGTCCTCTGGATTAACACCGTTTGATACTAGGCTCTAAAGAAAGCTATCTCTGGTGTGGACCAATCAGTTTCAAAGACAATGCATATGTTGTGTCCTATGACTAACCACACGGTGATCCGAGGGGAGAGAAATTCACGTAAAGACAGAGACACGACCCATACATCGAGACTACTGCGAGTTACAGAAGACTACAAGTGACAAAGAGTACTGCGACGGGCAGACTCCGGGGCATGGCCTCGAGATCAACAATGGGTGTTGTATCTCGCAGAGAAGAGGGGCGAGGTGATGCTCGGTGCTGAGTTCGGCATGGACCGACAGAGTATCGCTGAGAGTTTTATTCTACATTCATCCTGATGTTTTCAGTTGCTTTCAAAGTCAAGGATTGCGATAAGTTGTATTGTACTAAGCTTTCACAGTTGTTCAAGAGGTGTGTGAATACAATTTACAAGTTTTGAGAGTGAGTTCCAGCTCCCATGAGCAGCTGCGATCGGCAGGCTCCGGGGAACCTGCCCCCGTGACTGGCACATCGTCAACGAGCTGCACCAGCAGAAGCCACGAGTCTACGAAATCAACGCAAAGAGTTGACTTACTGCAAGCGGCAAGCTCTGGGGTGGGACTCTGCAATCAACCAAGGATGAAGAGGCTTGCCGAGTAGCAATTGGTCACCGAATACGAGCTCGGCGCTGACGGAAGAAGTATCGCTCAAAGTTATTCTACATTGAGTGCCAGCTCCCACGAGCAGCTGCAGACCGAGAGATAGAGTGACGAGCAACGACGAGCAATCACCCGGAGAAAGGGTGGAAGCCCAATCATCGACCAAGCCAGCATCGCAGAGAACCAGCTGCACGCGCAACCAGGCATCGCCAGAGAGCACGGAGCCGGAGAGAGATCGCAGCAGCGCCACCGAGCACTGGTGTCAGCTGCCAGCGGACGAGCGACGAGGGCTGTCAAGCACCTTCAAAGACAAGCATCGTGTCGACTCAGCTCATCCAGCAGGGGAAAAATCCTGACGAGCCGCCCGTGAGGAAGAGGAGAGCGCCGTGGGTTCGACCCACACGCACCGACCAGCACCAGCTGTGAACCAAGACAAGAGTGAGGAACGGCAACCAGCAGACGAGCTGCGGGCGCTATCTGACGACGGAATTATCGCGCACCGCCGACGGCGAGCATCGTGCCGACTCTTCATCCAGCAGTGGGTAGCAGCTCCAGCTGCCGCCGAGCGAGAGAGAGCGAGGAAGCTGTGTGTATGACCCTCCCCCACACTCACATACTCACCATGTATCACCCAGCGTCTGCTTGACGCGAAGAATTGATCAAGGAGACAAAACCACCAAACACACACCGCACATACCGGGACTAATAATAAGAAGAAGAATGATAAGAGTGCGTCAACTATTAGCTGATAATGAAGAACATTGCTGCCCATTGAGTCACATGGATACGGTCGTTGAGAAGTATTAGTCGTTCTTTTTATTAATTTTAACTGTACCGATTAATTCATTGACGAAACTAAACGTTTAGAAACCTACGTTACGAATCCACACACTCACAGGGAGACTTGTGTGTAAATCTTTCTTTTGATCACAGAATCTTGCCCGCGAATTTATTGAAGCCTTAGCCAATTGATAAGCATTTTCTGAAGCAGACACACTGCCGCACACCATTTTTCAAAGACGTTTAGTTAATTACATAATCTACCAATGAATTCATTGAGGTCTACTTTTGCATTCGGGACATGTTTCTTTATTGCCGTTCGTATGAATATTGTCACATTATTTTTAAGGACTTTTTCCTATGCTCGCGTTACTCTGAGGAATTAACCGATTGCTCTGTTACCCAGTTTAACAACGTAATCATTGAGGGTTAAATGTACGGATCAATGAGGAGCACATCTCCAGGAGTACTGTGTTGACAATTCCAAGCATAATAGTTCGCATATTAGAGTGTTATGTTTTTGTTTAGAATTTAAAGTTGCTTAACACAGAAGTGTGTGAGTCGTTCCTTCTTAAGTTCATGCATAATGACCTTAATTATAAGAACTGTATCCTTTGGCGAGATCTGGATTCTGAGACCTGGTAGAATTACACTAAAATATAATCAGTAAAAGTTACAGCGAGAATCTTTGTATTATCACAATTATTAAGAAGGGGGGGGGGGGGGGATGGTTTCATGATGATTCAAGCGCATTCTATTTATTGTGCACTTTATTTATATTATTATTACATTGTAATATATACAATGTAATAATAATACAATTGCTCTACCCTACCTTTTACCCTTTAGCAGGTAAGGTAAAAGGTAAAAAGAAACGAGCCTACCTTTACCCTACCTTTTACCCTTATCCCATACAAATTACCCGATTACAGGGAAGTTACTGGGGTACAACACATGAAAAAGGGTTAATAACGATAAATGCTAGGTAGAGCGCTTTATTTATATAGAATACTCTCGAATCGGGCGTTGAGGCTGTCGACGACACCGTCCTCCATAACCTCCTTGTCCCAGTCGTCTTGTTCGATGGCGATCTCATCAACAACCTGATAAAGTTCGTCATTGCCATGGTCCTCGGACGAACAACAGGCAATAAGATCCTGCGCCGATCCGGCCCAGTTAGACGGAATCTTCAGGCAGCCGACGCCGACGTCCCGACCTCGCTGCCTGGGGCGAGCATGTTGTGCTTCTTGAGGTGGACTTTCCACCCCGACGCGTTCGTGTGGGTGGAAAACCACTTGCGTGTGCTCCCACGGGATCGCATGCCACTGCCTTTTTCGATTGCTGTTCGCAGCAATCCCAAAAATGTCGTTGCTGGCATCCTCGACCTCGTCCTCTAGTACCTCTACCTCAAGGACGTGGACCGTCTCCATCTGGTCCGACATCAATTATCGCAAATAAAAATAGAGGCCACAGACTGCGCCACGGAACTTTTAGCGGTAAACAAGGTACAGTAGTTGCCGGGTAATTATTCACGCTACCTTTACCCTACCGGGTAATTTCTTTTGAGCTACCTTTAACCTTGGCATGTCGAAACCTTTACCCTTTTACCCGGTAAAAAAGGTAATTTACCTTACCTTGCCGAGGCCTAGTGGGAGCCCTGAGCTTGTTTTCCTGTAACTAGATTGTCCCATCTGGGGGTGATAGGAGACTGTGACACCCGAAGTGTGTTGCCTATGTCCAGTCTACTCCATAATCTCGTTTTTGTTGCTGTCACTGCAGAAAACCCTGCTTCACAAAGATAGGACGTTGGAATGGAATCAGACTTTTCAGTGCTTTTGTGGCAATCTAAGGATATTCCGCCTTGACTTTAATCCAGAACGTATCGAGATTTGAAGTTGTCTCAAACATACTTTTAAGGCCACCTTCATTTGCGATCTCAAGCAGTTGATCCTCTTCTAGCACAGACAAAGTCGATTCACCTGGCTTATTCACAAATGGGTCGCGGGTCCATTCCTTCCCAGTTCGGGGGTCTTTTGTGGTTGGGAAGTAATGCTCAAATTCTTTTAAAGGCTGAGATAGGTTTTAATGCACCAGCTGGGAGAAATGCCCTGGCTCAGTCTCTTTCAAAATCTCTGCTAGTGTTTGAAACATGTCAAAAGTTCCAATGTTCACTCGTCGCCCCCATAATTCGAGTTTGGCTTTGAATGCAGTCACTTTATCTGCCGAATTGAACAGAGTTGTCGATCTCCCTTGAAATGACAGATTGAGTACGTTGAGCAGGCTGAATATGTCACACAAGTGAGCAAGTTTCGCGACCCATTCTGTGTCACTGAAATGTGCTGCCAGTGGTGACTGTTTTTCTTAAAGATATCTCTGGAGTGGCTCTCACAACTCAAAAACTCTGGCCAGTGATCTACCTTTAGAAAGCCATCTCAATTCTGTGTTTTAGAGATGATGTGTGGTGAGCGCGCTGCGCTACGAACCCGGTGACCCGAGTTCGATTCCCGCTCATGGCCACCACGATTATTTTTACCTGTTCTGGGATTCCCCTAGGTCGACTCAGCCTCAAACGAGTAACTGATGTGGTGTGTGAACATCACCACTGGGGAGCCAAAGGCGGCCGGGCGTGGTGAATCCAAGTCCCGGGCGAAGCCGGGTAGTCAAGCTAGTCTTCTATATATAAAAGGAAAATTTGTGAATGTGTTGTATGTTAAACATGTTTAGCGTACTTCCCGACATGCAACAAACTTGAAATTTGCCATGTGGGTACTTTGCAAAATGTACTGTGATGCCGCCGCCACGAAGCCGCTCAGCGGGTGCCCCATCTACGACCTCGCCACCACCAAGCGACGGAGCCAGCCCCGCTTCCCCCTCACCTCACCTCACATAAACACACCCGCACGCATTCCCCCCCCCCCCCCCCCCCCCCCCATAGAGCTCCGAGGGAAGGTCACCTGGCTGACCGGTTTTAATCCGAGAAGCCCTTATCGGGATTAACTTCACCGTTTCCGGCGACCAGGGAATTGGACGACCTCCCCCGACGCTATTTCGCACCGCGGCGCTGCGACCGGCATTAAGATTGTATGGTCGCGGCGAGGGGCATTCGGCCACCGCGGTTGAAACGCATCCCCCACACACACCCCCACGTATCGACGAGGCAAGCAGGGGAGGGACGGGACAGCATGATTAGCATGACCGCAGGGACTCTTGCGCGTAGTCGCTGATGGTTAGGATAATTACGCTTGAGCGCGCAGGCACCATTGTCAGGGAAGTTAAAGGATAAAGCTGGAATTATGAATAATCAGAAGGGCGGAGGCACGCGGGGAGCCCGTGCACAAATTCCCACGGCGAGCCTTTGTGATGGACGCCACCGCATAATTTGCATAACCAAGGCACCATTCATGAGAAAGGGATTGATTAGCATATGCGCCGCGCATGAACGGGGGAGGGAGCGAAGAGTACGCGGGGAGGCGGGGGCCTGAGTCCGGAAGATAGGATAAAAGCGATCGTAGCAAGGTAGAGGGATCTCACTTCAAGAGGCCCGCGTTCAAGACGGCTCCCAGCTCTGCCCTCCGGACGTCCACGCGACGTGTCCAGACGAGCATCGAGGAAAAGCCAAAGGATGCCGAATACTTCGAACCATGAGTAGCAAGGTGAAAGGGTATTGTAAGCAGGTAAATCGGGAATAGGTCCAGGGGTAGCAGAATAGGCCAGCCTCGTCGATTCATACTGACTTAACAACAAGTCCCAGGTAGCAGACAATAAATCATTAATAGCTGATCGTGGTCTCGTGTGATCTCGCAAGAGAGGGTGTCGCGTGTGGAGCTGCGTGTGTGCGCGTGTGTTCGCTACGTGTATGATGCAGGTACGCGATCATAACGTGAGTAGTCAGTGTTGAGTGAGAGCGCGCGGAGCTGGGTGTGGGCGTACGTTCGCTACGTGTCGGATACAGGTGCGCGATTAGGAAAGGGAGGTATCGTGGTAGTGTGAAGGGGACGTAATACTACTCGGTAGCTAGCCATGCCTACTACGCGGACCCGAGGTGGATGGGAATCATCGAGCGACGGCTCCCACCCCATGGGTGAGGAACCCAGCAGCGGTTCGCCTAGCAGCGGGGGGGCGAGTAATGATGTTAGTCCGGCCGTTAGCATTATCGAGGGAGGGATCTCGGGGGCCAGCGACCCTCACAGTACACCATGAAAAAATTATAAAAATACACTTTTGTATTTTTGGGGGGGGGAATGACCATGAAGTGTGGCGAGAATCGATATCTGCTGAGCGTTTGTGGTATCGATTAAACGGAAATAGGCCGATTCTAAATAAATCTACAACATTTGATTCCATTGCGCGATCTAAATAATTGAATCTTTACGCGCGAGCGTTAGTTTATTTTCCACCGCGCGTTGGAATTTATTTAAATGTATTTAAAATGTATTTACATTTTAATTAAAGAGATAAAATAAAAATCCATTTGTATATGTTATGTTTTGAAGTTTTTTGAGAAGTTTTTCAAGAAATGTTTTTCCCCCGGGCAACGCCGGGTGCTTCCCGCGAGTACCGATTAAATGAAACTGAAACTTTCAACTGGCGTTTAATTAACATAATTTATTCATAAATACAGTCGCTCGTTCATTGCGACAGCTTGAGCATCCACGCCTCATCACTGCACATGAGCCCGTCTCATTAACATAAGTTATTCAATTACGCCGCCGCTCGTTGGGGGAGGGGATTGTGTGTTGAACCCCGCAAGTGACGTCATGTCACCTGCTTTCTCGTGACGTCACGATATATCCGGAAGTTGCCACAGCACTCGCTCTCACAGATCCGAGGTGAGAAGTTAACATCGTGGTTGTTGTTGTCGTGGTGGTTGTTGTTGTTTACCCAGGTAGAGCCTCTCTCCGTCTCTCGTAGGGATATCAATTGAGTAGCAGCGAGTATGGAATCGATGTCCAGGTTGGAACATTACAACGCGGGGCCTAGCCACGCGGGGCCTTGCCTCCTGCCCTCGCCTGATTGCATTTGCTTTAATCCTCTGCTTAAGTTTAATTCGTCTTCATCTGGCTCACTACTTCATGGGACCTCCTTTGCCAGTAGCAACATATAAGAAGAGGTTTTTCCCCTTTTTCTGGCAACAAAACAGGTGTTAAGATATTATTGGTTCTTTCGGTAAAGTCACGTAGAAGGGAAATAATAAAGTAATACAATTTCTTGCTGTGGATTTCACAGCTGACGATGATTGCTCGTGTTGCAGTCGAAACGTGAGAATTGTTTTATTTTATTATTTTTCTTCTACGTGACTAGGTGTGAAAAACAGCAAGAAATTTTTTACAAATTTAGGAAAATTTGCTTGTTGTTTTTTTCACACCTGATTACTCGTGTTGCAATCAAAACGTCGTGAGATTTTTTTTTCTACGTGACTTTAGGTGTGAAAAACAGCACCTGACGATGATTGCTCGTGTTGCAATCGAAACGTCGTGAGAAATTTGTATTGTTTTATATGTTTATTATTTTATTATTTCCCTTATACTTGATGACTTTACCGAAAGAACCAAGAATATGAATCCCTGCAGTCAGGAAAGCTTCAAATCAAAATTTGGGTGTTAAGATGTTTAAACGCCGAACTGAAACCTCTTGCAAGGAATCGTGTCTGCATTAACCACAATATACTCGTGATCAATATGCAAACAAAACAAATGCTGTGATAATCTATGCATTGTCTGTGAAACTGATTGGTCCACACCAGAGACGGCTTTCTTTCGAGCCTAGTCTCAAACGGTGTTAGTCCAGAGGACAGCGCCAAAAGGCGTACACAGCACAAAGACAACGCCACCATCAGAACAATGACAGCTCGGGGTGAGCATCGACATCATGGGACCTCCTTTGCCAGTAGCAAAATATAAGAAGAGGCTTTTCCCCTTTTATCATTTACAGATTTGTACTATTTTTTGTCTTGGGATATTTTTTGTATACGGTTTCTCCGTGTTTATTTCAATTGGTTGGACCATCTCTAGCTCCACCCACCTACCTTGATGCACCCATCTCAGGTTTATATAAGACCTTGTCTCAGCAGCTTTCTCTCACCTGAAGACGATTGCTTGTGTTGCGATCGAAACGTCGTGATCTATTATTTTCTATGTACGCGACTTGACCGAAAGACCCAAAGAGTATTAATTCCTGCAGTCACGAAAGCTTTAAATCAATAAATAACTACGTAGTTTGAGAAGCTCCCAATGCACCATTGGAACCTCCTTTGCCAGTAGCAAAATATAATAATTGTTTTTTTACCCTTTTATCTGACAACAAAACTGACACCTTTTTTGAGTTGTACGCCTTTTGGCGTCATCTGGTCCAACACCATATTAAATGTCCAGGAGGTATGCTGCAGGGCAGTTAATAGATATTTTCTCTGCAACAACGATGAGGTCGGAAGAGCGATGCCCACATGAATAGGTGGAACGCTGGGTTCCTAAAACCCAGCAAGACAGTGGGGAGCACATCTGGTTCATCTGTCAGTCATCCCTTGACACCTGGATCATTCCCATTACCTGCTGACAAGGAATCCACACTTACATGGCCTTAAATTGCACCTATCATGGCATTAGCACTGGGATAAGGTGACTTGCAATTCGTCATGAATGGTGGATTTTTGTTTATATATGTTAATGATGCATGTGAAATGTATGTGTATTTAAGAGTTTATCTTTGTGGGGAGCTGTGGTGCAGTTATTTCACTGCATTATGAACTCAACAATTAGTTGGATTATCACCGACAGCAAACATGATTGATAAGTGAAAGCTAAACAGCTTGTGGTCCTCTGCTATATTGATTGATCTTAAATTAATTACATGGTGAAGTGAGGAAGCGTCAATACTGAGCAGATGAAGGCGGCTAGGCATGGTTCTGGACACAACCACTTTTTACCATGCCAGTGTGTGACACTGTCAAGTTTGTATTTGCAGTAAATAATATTAACTATTGAACATGGAGGTAAAATCAAAACAATCGTTTATTTTAGTTCCCCTCTGGAACTTTTTGAAAGAATGGAAACAGGAAATTAACAGCACATATGCTGCTGAAGTTACATCTGTTTATCCAAGCATTCAAGCAAATCTGAGCCTGGCTTCACACCTCTAAAGTTGAGATTGAACATTTATTGATGCATTTCTGCATAATACAAATAGTATTATTCCCAACAGCCTTTGCTATGTTAGCTGAAATTTGCTTTTATAAATACTACTTTTGCAGCCAGGCAGCCGAAATTGTGTGCTTGGTGTTTTGGGTTAACATTTATTTAGAAGATACTAGGGCTTCCAAGCATATTTATAACCATTTGCCCTCTCATTGTGTGCTTTAACAGCCCGTGTGATGAATTGGGGATAATCTTGAATATATATAAATATAGACGTGTAAGTCATGTGTGACTGTGTATATATTCATTCCTCTGGGCCTCGATACTGATGAAGATGGTGTGGACATTTATTTTTTTCTGTCTGCAGCTGATGCTTCTTCTGATGCTTCCTCTGCAGAATTGGTTTGATGGAGCAAAGGGACTCAGCGCAGCTCGTTAGACAAAGACAACGATTGGACCAGTATGCAAACAGCATGGATTCTACTGGAAATTTTACACAGGACCAGAGATCTCCAACGGGAAAGAAAGCCTTCAAGTGCACTGTGTGTGGGAAGGCATTTTCAGATTCATCTGCTCTTAAAAAACACCAGAAAACACACACAGGAGAGAAACCCTTCAGGTGTAGTGTGTGTGGGAAGGCATTTTCAAGTTTATCTTATCTTAAAATACACCAGAGAACACACACAGGAGAGAAACCCTTCAAGTGTAGTGTGTGTGGGAAGGCATTTTCAAGTTCATCTTATCTTAAAAACA